GTACAAAACAACATACTAACAATTTTGCATGCTAACCGGTTCTTCAAAGTCAAGGCCAATCGTACACAAGGGCTACCACCAATGGCAATTCCTAATAATAATATTTAACTGGTTTTATTACTAACTAATCGATACGAAAAATTTTGTACAAATATCAATAAATCAAATATTATTTTTTTAAATTAGCCAAATTATATACAATATTTTTTGTTTTTATTTTTATTTAAGGTAATATTTAATTAGATTATGAAGTTTTTTAAAATACCTTTCGTCTAAATTAAAAGGGTGTATATAGAGTTGTGTCCTTCAAGTGAAAATACAGGGTTCTGTTATATTTTTGGAAAATATGAATCATTTTAATTAAACAATATGATAGTAATTTGGAAAATATTAACTTGCATTGAAAACTTGAAAAATATATTACAAAAATTTGCTAATATACATATGGCATTACATTAGTTACATAAAACGTAACAACTTTCATTATAACAGCTACAATCATAAACGCACAGATAACAAATATATTGCAAAGATTGCCCAGACGCCCACGCGTTTTTCGCTGCCGCAGCATCGTATGACGTCACTTAGTGCCTTGAATTTATAGGAAGCGTTTTCGGCCGACTAGCATCAGTTCGACAAACATAGCACCGTATCTCCGAAACTATTAATTGCAGACATGCTGTTACTTCTACATTACTTTTCAGATATTAATGGATTATGTATTTATAAAAAGAAGTTTTCAACTAGCCTATTACAAAATTAACATAAGAAAAATTAATTATGAATTAGAATACCTACTATACCTGTCGTAAAATGATAAAAAAAAACAATTAAATTCTAAGTACACCTTTGATTAACTTTATAATATTTCATTACTCGACAAAACGAAGAGATTTCACGATATTTCTATCGAATAAATGGTAACCCTAACCGTGGGATAAAACAAGTTTGAGCGTCTTGAGTAATAAAAAGAAAAAGAATGCTCTTACTCATGGTTACTCTGGTCATTGCGTCTCAAAAATTCGATAATTATTGTTCCAAAAACGCTGTTGTTTTTCGAGCTGATGATGAAATTATCTTGATATTTAAGTTCGAAGATACGACAACAAAAAAATAACAAATATCCAATAGGTTTCAGCACTTTATCTTTGAAATCTTTAGAGATATTAATCCAATCAAATATGAAATAGAGATGGAAAAAACAGTTCTGAAGTTTACACAAAACTTAATGGAAAACGTAATCTACGCAAAATTCTTTAGCGCAGACTACTTTAGAAAAACGCCATTTAGTATTACTATGTTAATTCTAGAAATTCATGAATAGTAAAATTGCCTCTGGAGTTACACAATAAAACGTTAACGTGATTTTTAAAATACCTAAATAAATCCATATTTATATTCTATAAAAATATATTTCATTTTCCGAGTAACTCAGTCGCGTAGTGGATAAGCGCCGCGGCCCGCGCTCGTTGTTATCCCTTTAGGTGCTAATTTTTGGGATAAAATATAACCTTTTACCTTCCTATGGTTATAAACTACCCAAATACCAATTTTCATCGACATAGGTCGAAACAAAGAAGTTTCATATAAACTTTTTTACCCTTTTTGGCCCCCTTCGGGATGGAATTTTAAAAAATCCATTCTTAGTACACCTCTACGTGTTAAGGGGAATGTTCCCTTCAAATTTCAAGTTTCTATGACCAGCAGTTTAGGCTGTGCGTTGTCTGTCAGTCAGGAAGTCAAGACGTCTCCTTTTATATTAGGTGCGCACATATGAAATAGGCGTTTTATCGTACTGGCCACTTTAATCACAACTTTCTCCTCCTTGGTTGGGAATTCCGAATTTAAATTTATACAGCCATTTACCCATGTATTTATGTTTTGTTAGGCGGCATTAATTTGTTTTTTTTTTCGTCTGTTTGTCCTAAAATGGAAAACTTGAAATATCGTGTTATTCACGAGTACGAGTTCCACCGTGGTACCAGTGCTGCGGAGACGACTCAAAGTGTTAATGATGTGTATGGCAGTTGTGTCGGAAAAGAAAACACAGTGCGTTTTTGGTTCCTAGGTTTTAGTTCTGGAAATTTCGTCCTGCAGAACAAGCCTCGTGGGCGGTCGGAGACTCAAGTTAATAATGAAGAATTGAAGGCTATTCTGGAAGCAGATCCATCGCAAACCATGTCCGAGTTAGCTGCAGGCTGCAGTGTTAGTGATAAACTTGTTTTAATCACACAAGCAAATTGGAAAGGTTAAAAAGCTTGAAAGGTAGGTGCCTCACGAATTAAGTGAAGCAAACCGGCAAACGCGCTACAACTGCTGCGTTACATTACTTAACCGGCACAATAATGAAGGGTTTTTAAATCAAATCATTACCTGTGATGAAAAGTGGATTCTCTACAGTAATCGGAATCGCTCATCGCTATGGTTGTACCCTGGCATGCCAGCCAAATCCTGACCCAAGCGAAAATTGACCCCAAAACAGTTACTTGTAAGCGTTTGGTGGAGTAGTGCCGGTGTCGGTCATTACAGTTTTCTCATCTGGCCAGACGATTACGACAGACATCCATTGTCAGCAATTGTCAATCGCTCTACGCCACTGCTACTTCACGACAACGCTAGACCACTCACTGCACAACAGACGGCTACCAAAGTAGAAGAGCTTCAATTGGAATGTCTATGTCACCATCCACCGTACTCCCCGGACCTTGCTCCAACAGATTACCATTTTTTTTTCGAAATTTGGATAACTTCTTACAAGGGAAAAATATTCAACTCTGATGGGGCAGTGCAAATCGCCTTCAAAGATTTTATTAATTCCCGTCCGAATGGTTATTTTAGTAAGGGGATCAATGAACTACCTATGAGATGGCAAAAGTGCACAGATAACAATGGTTTATACTTTGATTAAATAAATATATTATATTAAAAATATTCGACTTTTTGTTCCCCCCATACTAAACACCAATTTCATATGTATGGACCTAATATATGTATAGATAATTACTCTTTATTAATACCAAAAATGTATAGTATAGAAAACATGTAAAAATAGAAGTCCTTTTAGCGCGGTTATATGTAGGTATGTTTTCCATTTTTTGTATATAAATACAAAACAAACTGATTGATTATACGTGTCTCAGATATTCTATTCCTATGTCATTTCGAAACTCACTTCACTTATGCTACAAAACGTTATTACCAATTCAAAATTGAGCTGATGCCGCTTTGACACCTGAGTGAATTCGAATTCGGGTTTGGATTTTTACAGAATCGCAGGGCTGGTAATTATTTTGTTATCTAGTGGCAGGGTGTATATATCGATAATAATACACGACTTATTTATCCGCAAATACGCAGTAACATTTGCATAATAATAGATGGCAAAGAAGGAAATAAATAATATTACAAATAGATGATTGATAAACTTTGATATCATACTAACCGTTTTCCCGCGATTTCGTCTTTGTATAAAAATTTTTGTATAAACGGTAGAAGATCCGGATTTGGTCACTGCCCCCTTTTTGGCCGTTTATCACTTATAAGCATTCTAACTAACACAACCAAATAGGTATATTACTTTACCATGAACTGTTTTTAATATGTTGTATTGTGGCAAAACTTTTCTTTTTATTTATTTATTATAAATATAATTTAACATTTAAATTTATATTACTATGTACATAACAAAAACCACGAAGGTTTGTCCGGACTTTACATCCGACGTACAATCGCGTTGAATAAAAAGAGGTCTTAAATATTATTAAAGTTTAATTTTGGATATATAATTTTTGTAAAAATTAAATAAAAGACATTAAAAATATCAACTAGTAACAACTATTTTGTAAGCGTTATGAAGTTGTATCTGGATTTTATCAACTGTCAAACTCCACTTCTTTGTAAGTGTAAAACGACCAACACCAAGTCATAATTTAAAATGGCCAAAACGAACTCATGAGCCCTATGTTACCCGCATATGGTGAAGCGTAATAGGGGGCTAATTCTACTAAATAAATTTTGTTTAAATCGAATCGAAAACGGGTTGAAACCGAACGAAACTACAGTTTTTAATAGTTTGTCTATTTTACTAAGTGACATACGATACAAGTCCAGCTAAAATTGAACTGGAATTAGCCCCCAGGAACGTAAGTGAAAGATTTTTTAAATCGGTCCAGTGCCAGTGATGCGGTTTTTTTCATAGATAGGGTGATTCAAAAGGAAGGTTTTTATGTATTATACAAACCACGCGGGCGAAGCCTCTGGTGGAAAGCTAGTTAGAAATATAGAGCTATTATAAAGATAATTTTAAAATGACATATAACTATATAACTGTCCTTTACTTTCACCTATCTAAATAGAGTGAAGCGTAGGGATGTTCTTGACTCGAGGTAGCAAGAATGAAACTCTTTTACATAGATTTAAAGAAGCAATTTTTTTTGGGCTGATTATATTAGTAGATTAAAAGGACCTGCTTCAATACTGTAAGTAGATAATGCATAAACTATGAGTGTATATTTACAAAAGTACTACAATCAATAAAGTTTGTAATTATAATGAATTCTTTTCATAGCTTACCTATTATTTTAATAACTTGAATTGCTATAATAAAATACGTGATACTGCTACAATGCACATGTCATCATCATCTTAAATACTAATATATCAAATCATCTTCCTTATTTACAAATACTGTAACAAATTTATCTTAATAAATCTATGATTAGATTAAAATAAATTTTAAATCAATAGGTAATATTACATTATGAAATACTGTTTTTATATTATATGTATATCGCGCCTCGATATCGAAGCTATAATAAATACTCCTTGTGTTTCATTGCACCCATCACTATCCCATAAAAATAGTTCCCGAGTGTAGGAGAAAGTTTTTCTCTAAATCGTTACATAACGGGCCACAAAAATCTCTTTGGGCAATGGCCAGTCGTTATTGATACCAGCTGCTGTTTAGTAATACTTTTTGTTTAGTGCTTTACCTTTCTAAAATGCTTTTGGTGAGTTTTTTTTTTTATTTTCTCTAATAAGGTTATATGTGAACTTCCGCGTTCCAACTATAAAATAAGCATTTAAGTGATTCAATGTGGAATTGTTACGTTTGTACCATAAATAGAAGAGTATTGGTTTTTAACAATTAACATAAGTATGTAAAAATTTCGTCAATAATAAAAAAGAAGATCAAATTAATTACAAAAGGAAACCGCTTTGGAGTAGGTTATTAGGAAAACAAGAAAAATTTCAAAAGCTGCGATAGTGACTGAATTATTCTTTCGTTAACAACAACTGTACACCTCCATACTTAATTATAATTTAATGCGAACGTAAAATGATATTGATACTACACGAGTCCCGTGAAACCCTGCAGCACAAGAAGTAACTGCAGACTTCCAGTAAATTCTTATCATATCAAAATCGGAAAGTCTTTATTTAAGTTGGAGTCTCCTATTAAGCATTTCAATACCTGTACCAGGAGACTTCGCTCTTTTATAACATGATTTCTCGTATTCATAATTTGATTTAAAAATGTTTTTAATACATTTAATCATACATTACTTAAGTGTGTTCGTGCATAGTGTAAAAAAATATGTTGTCATTGTTGTCAGTGACTGTTATAAAAAATTACAGGTCTTCCTGTCTGCTATATTTAGCAGTCTAATTAATTCAAACGGTGCTGTATTAGACCCCGCATTATTTCTTTTACCGAGCCCACCGCTGCTGAGTGGCTCTAATATCTCTCCAGAAACGAGATGGAAGATATCGGATACCTCAAGAGTGACCAGAGAGGCTGATCCAGATACTATTAATCAAAGTAAGTAAAAAACTTTTTAAATGTTAACGAACTTTAAATACTTATAAATTCTCCGAACCCGCAATTAGTACCTACATAAATAAAAGATTTGAATAAAATATGAAGACCACCATCATCATAATCATAAACCCTCTTATGTCTCCACTGCAGGGACTCAATCTTCCTTATGGATGGTTAATAAACGTCCATCTGGCCCAATACGGATTGGAGGATATTAACGATAGCTAATGTAGCGGGGATCAAAGGCTTAATGTGCCTTCAGAAGCACGGAATAGCACAGTAATAGCGAGATAATAATTTTTGGTCACCCATCCCGTAACCGACCCTTGCGGAACTAACATAACAAATGTCTTTCTTCAACTGGATTCATTATGGAGCGCTATTCTGTTATAAAAACAGCCTGTCATAGAATAGAGCTTCAATTTCAATCAAATACTTCAAAAGATAATAAAGGTTTTATTTCATTTGAAACTCTATGCTATCACATCGCTGCCTTCGACATCAAGTTCTAGCTATATTTTTTTTCCAAAATATTATAGCCATTGACTTTTGCTAGCATTGCAAGTGTTGAAAACTTTTCTGAAAGCAATTAGAGACTGAGCGTGACTCAATCCTGATTGATTATACCATTATTTTTTTTATCTAAACTCTGTATGTACATACAAAAAATAGTGCAAGTCACTTTATTAAACGTTTGAATATTTTCTATGTTAAATATGTACGAGTAACTTAATTTTTTAAACGTCAACACAAATACATAGCTACAGTTTTTAGGTGCTTTCTGGTAATCACGAAAGCGAGAGAATTCCGAAAATTACTTTAATAAGCAACATGTTTGTTTATATCTAATTAAAAGTTATTTTATCTATTCAAAGTACCTATATTACTTTGTCAATTTTATCAACAGTTGATAAAAAAAAGAATCCCGTGTTCGGTATTACCTCAAAGCATATTATGATATCCACTTTAACATTAAGACCATCTTACATTATAGATTAACGAATGATAGTTGAGAAAAATTTTCTTGGTCAAACCGGAGAGCTAAAGGGCTAATTATCTAATTTAATCTGTCGCAATCACTTTTAATTAGACATTTGAAAATAATTACGAAAGTCACGCTACAACTATTTAACATATTTGATAGCGTTAAATGGAATTGTCTAAAGCAAACGTTAGACAATGATATTGTCATATGTCAAACGAAATGACACAGTCTTACGACCGGTTTAGGTAAGTTTTTATGATGTTTCTTAATCATTAAAATCAGCTTTCGATCCAAAAGGGATTGCGACTTTAAAAGTATATAACTCCCATAACTACTATTACAATTGCTATATCTTTGAAAAGGATTGCGATAAATTTTAATATTAGCCCACATTACTGACTGATCTGCAAACAAATGACGTCATCTTGACAGTTCGTTTAGGAATTTATTTGGAAAGATCAAACACGACTTCTGTTACGCTGTTGAGCGGCAGATATATGACTCCTTTTCTTCTCACTACAAATATAACAAAGTCTTTAATAAACTGCGTATTTAACAATACATAGAACATTTAGTTTTTGGTCAATTATTTTGAATTTCACTTGTGATGGATGAGAAAAAGGGACCACCGATCAATGAGAAAAAAAAATTTGCCAGGAAAATTTCTCAGAAATCACCCTGGAAATATATCATCATCATCATCATCATCAGCCCTTTTACGTCCCCACGACAACGATCGTGGGCCGCGGCGCTTATCCACTACGCCACCGAGCTACTCCCTACGGAAATATATCACATTACCTGAACAACTATTATTATAATAGGTCATTCATCAGACCATCATAGAAAAATATTGTGTAATACAACGTGTAAAACTAAAAAACCTATACCTATTATTGTGTAAATATTTATTATCGTTAGATCAATAATTAAATAGGTATAATAATCATTTGAGTAATTAGTTTTTTCTGTCAGTTTTACCTGACATTTGATGTCATGATTCTTGCGTGTACACATATACTATAAAATGAAAACAATTCATCTATGTCATTATTGTAAGGAAGTAAAGTATCTAACTTTGTTTGTTTGTATGAAATAATCTTCGGAGATACTGATCCGATCATGAAAATTCTTTCACCAACAGGAAACTATATCACACTCGGAGTATGATATACTAGTGGCCGCCAGCGACTTCGTCCGCGTTTTCCATTATTTCTTCGCTTCTCATAGTTGCAGCGTGATTTTATATAGCCTAAAGCCTTCCTTGGTAAATGGTCTATTCAACACAAAAATAATTTTTCAATTCAAACCAATAGTTCCTGAGATTAGTGCGTTCAAACAAACAAACTCTTCAACTTCATAATATTAGTTTCCTGTTGATGTATGTATAATTAACGCGAACGGAGTCGCCGAAAATCAGCTATCACGTGTATTTTTGAAAAATTCCTACACGTTCAGTCTTTTCGTTTTTACTTTTACATTCCTTCTCCAAAACTAATTTGAAACTAATTTTGGATGGATCCACTAATTTCATATTTAGTTTACGGTTTCAAAAAGTTAGAATTATTTGAATATTTCACATTATTCTTTCACAGAACAATCCACAGTCACGGAAAAATCAGAATCGATGGAAAGCGCTGAAACATTTTGGCCCGGCTTACGAACACCAGCATATGGAATTAGGGGTATCCACATACCTTTAACATTCAGTATTCACGGCACATACGGCAACAGTGGTTACGGTTCTCACAGCAGCAGCGTTGTTGGAAGCAGTTACGCAAGTATATCGACCGGTGACTCGTATGGTAATTACGGCAAGTCTGCACTTGCAGGCAGCAGTTACGGATCTTATCCTGGCATTAGAGTGTTTGGTGGAGGCAGCAAGCCTGGCTGGAGTGGATGGGGAAACGGAAAATGGGGACATTATGGCAAAGGATAAAAATTCCCCATTTTATCCAAACCTAAGCATATTATACTCCTAATTATTAATACAATATAATAATGGTATCTTGATGGTGTATTAATGAAGTTCAAGATCTGCATTGATTAAGGGTAAGTGAGTACCATAATGACATGTCAAAATGAACACGTAGACTGATCATTTAGTGCTTTAGTTTGACAGAAGAATAGGGAACTTCAGCTCTGCGGTAGAGCCGCAGGGTTTAATGATACCGCACCTTTATACTCAATCCACTATTTTTAACGCTTGAGTGCTAAAGAACCACCAAAAGTACGTTAAAATTAAAGCTATACTACTTATAGTAAGGTGAATAACTTTATGGTAATTGTTTTTTATCACTCGATCTATATGAAATAATTGGTACCCAAGCCGAGTTCAGTGGCGTCACCATATAAATAAGTTTTTTTTAATAAGATAATACAAATAAGTTTAATTACTATTTTATACTATAGTAAAGATTACCAATGTATTCGTAGAGATTACTTTAAAGTTATTACGTAATTTATGTTTGATAGAAAAATTATTTACCTAATATCTAATATATTTAATGATTCCATTTTATTAATAAATAATAAGTTATCTGTAAAACTGAGTACGTTTATTTTATAAGCATTATAAATAAAGATATTGCAAGTATAAATTATAAAGTTTATTTTGCACCATGAACCTGTATAAATACTACATTTTCAATTTATCTAATGTAACTAATCTTCGTAAATACTGATCCTATAATGAAACGGACTACAATTTAAGCGGACGAAGTCACAGGAAACTGTTAGTATAGTCATCATCATCATCAGCCTTTTTTCGTCCCCACGGCAGGGGCTCAGGCCTTCCTTAAGGAGGATGGGCCATGACCCGCCACGCTGGCCCAATGCGGATTGGAGGGTATTAACGACAGCAAATGCAGCTGGGACCAACGGCTTAACGTGCCTTCCGAAGCACGGAGTAGCTCGAGATAATAATTTTTTGGTCACCCATCCCGTGAACGACCCTTGCGAAAGTTGCTTAGCGACTACGATCACGGGCCGTGGCGCTAATCCACTACGCCAACGAACTACTCATTACTACTCGTTAGTATAATATAACTTGGATATAACAATATATTTTTATTTTATTCAGCAGTACATTGGCTTATACAAAACTCTTTTTCAACAGACCAAACCTATGATTTTGGTTGAAAGTTTTCAAAATATATAATTGCTCAAATCGTATGTCGCTACAAATTTTTAAACCGCACGCTTGAAGGAATTTGCAAAAGCACGCTTTTTGAACAAGTTACAAAAGATAAAATGTATTGTTCAAACTCATAATAAATTTAACTTAGTAGTTAAATATGTTAAAAAATCTTAATAGTAATATTTTTAAGCTTCCCAACTAATTGTCACTTCAACACTAAAAAAATTAAACTGACTTCAAAAATATCATGATAAAGATGCAGTCGTATCATTAGTAAGAAGTAAAACAGCACTATTAGAAAATGTGTCATACATTTTTTTTATAAATCGTCCATTAGTAAAAAGTAATAGTCCATTAGTAAAAAGTAATACAGACCTATCAGAAAAATTTTCTCTTACCATACATGATATTTTCCTTAAAAATATCTGGCACTGACCTCAAAAAAATATCCATAATGGTGAATACACTTTTTGTGTTTCGATATTATTGAAGATAAAAATTTATGGTATATTTTCTTTCTATTTTGGCGTTTCACTTTATTACGATATTTTTGAAGTCGGTTTAATTTTTTTTCTTTTATTTTAATAATAGCACTTATACTAATAAATGGCGTCCTTTTCCACCAATTTCAATGGTTAAAAAAACATCATATTTTTAGTAATTCTTATAAGTCTTATTAGAATTATTACTCCTTTTACGAGGGGCTTAAATTTTAATAATTTTGTACACGTCTTTAGAAGCTAATATAGACCAACTTATAGGAATATTACACATATATATCTCAAATTTATAAACTCCTTTTTTGAAGTCGGTTAAAAAGAATTATTGCAATCTGACGTCCAGTTTATGAGCTAGCCGTGGACAAACATACAGACATACATCCGTACAAACATACATTTTGCACACGTGTTTAGAAGCTAATATATGTCCGCGGGTAGTCAGAAGGGGCTATTACGAAGCCATATCGGAGGACTTTCTTTAAAATAACACTGCAAGCGTGTACACCATAACAATAGTGTGTACACCACAAAATATAACGAGATGAGCGTGATGTCGTCGGATGTCTTTACTCCTCGACGATCGGAAACAGAATGTGTGCGAAAATGGCGGCAATTTGGTTTTTGTTAACGAACTGTCAAAGTCAGTGTCACCATTCTAATAAAATTAAAAGTATCGATGATCACGCTCTCTCTACAATCGAGTAATTAATTAATCGAGTAACTAGCAATTAAAATAAAAGAAACTAAATCAAACGATCTTCGTAAAGATGATGCGACATATGCGAATAATGCGCTATATTTCTACATAAATACAACATACAAATCAATTTTATTACCTTTTTGAAGTCGGTAAAACTTTTACAGTGCTATTAATAAACAAATTGCTCTTTTAGTATTAGTCCAAATTCATGTTGTACAGAGAATAAGCAAACCTACTATCTTCTAGGACTAAATATTACTCCCGTAGAACCTCGTACAGGCGCTGTCTCCACGAGCGAGAAAATCGCGACGAGTTCGCACTTCTATCGTCGTGTAATCTTCATGAATGAGCGATTATTCTGCCAGCGTATCGTCACGACTCGTAATGGAATCGTAGCGTATCTGCGACGACACTTAACAGAATCTTTGACGATGTTCTTTTTTTGTTGGAAGAATTCAGTTAGGTGCCAAACGAGAGCGAAAAAAGTAGCCAGTGAAAAAGTCTCAGAAAATAAAACAGGTGTTTCTCTCACTTCAAGTATAAACTTTTCGATGTCCAACATTGTAGATATATTTTGTTTATAAATAAAGCTTGTTGTTAGATTAAATCACATCCTTGCTTGGTGAGAGGTAACGCTGAAATGACGCTACGTTTAAAACGCGCCCGCCGCGCGCTCGCTGCGAGGGCGTCACGTTCTGCGCCGACGCACGTCGTGAGCGCCACCAGTAGCGACGATACCACAGCGATACTTAATGCAACCTCAGCGTTAATTTACTCCAACACTAAACATTGTTTTTTATTAATAACACTGTAATTAGTTTATATCTTGAAAACTACTGAACCGATTTTGATAAAACTTGTAGTGTTCCCTTAAGTTGAAAGCTAAGCAACTAAATAAACAAGAATCATTGCAATCCAACACTAAACCTTGTTTTTTATTAATAACACTGTAATTAGTTTATATCTTGAAAACTACTGAACCGATTTTGATAAAACTTATAGTGTTATCTTACGTGAAAGCTAAGAAATTAAACAAACAAGAATCATTGCAATCTGACGTCTAGTTTGCGAGATATCCGTGGACAAACATACATACATCTATTAAATTTTACACACTTGTTTAGAAGCTCATATAGATCTACATACGTGAATATTAATTACTCTATTCCAACGAAATTACATATATTCACCTCGGTTTGATAACCTCCTTTTTTGAAGTGGGTTAAGAAGAATACAAAATCTTAACAATTTTATTGTACGTTGTTTAGCATTTCTAAAGGGTAAAAAGGCGAGTCTATTCATAAGACTCCGCTATTCGTCTGACTGACTATGTAAATATTGATGAATAATGTCAAAGTAGTAAAATGAAAAGTAATATCCTTTCGGGAGCTAAAATGTGTGTGTGTGTCTGTCACACACACACACAAACACGTCAAACTTACAATACCCCTCTTTTTGCGTCGGGGGTGAAAAATCATTCATATCATCACGTCCCTATCAAGGATCAAATCATTAAATAGAATCGCTGTTAAATAGAATTATAACCACATTTTTGCATCGGCCTTGCCCTGTCAATCAAACGTCCGTAGTAATGAGATGGTTTCCTGTTTGCTCCCCATTTATATGGTAGACCTTTGTAGTCGACTCTCTCACGTTCACCAATAGAGTTACAATGATTATAACCTTCATAGTACTTCCACTTCTGCCAGTGTTAGTGACATGTTCCGGGGAAGGCAACATACGCCTGCTGGAGGCAGAAGTAGCTACAGCCCTGAAGACCTGCACTTTGACTAATGATGACTTAAAAGATAATAATGGTAAATATAACAAGTTGCTTAAGATATAACAAAAACCTAGAAATACTCTAAGCAGGACCCGATCTAAGTGGGGCAATTGTGTGAATTACCAAGACATACTGACATGACAACCTGACATACTTGAAACATTCTCTTCATTCTAAATTGTCAAGAATATGCGTGTGCGAAATCACATTTTCTAAGGTTCTGGGTATTGGTTGAATCAGGGCTGTCTCTATATGGGGATCCAAAGGGCCCAGTTGTTTATATAATATCCTAATTAAGTATATTTAGACACATGATATACACCGCCTTTGATACGTGTCGTACCACTAACAATGAGAAAGTTAAAATAATTTTTATTATGACAACTAAATGTTTTGTCAATTAATGTGTATTTAAAGAAATATTGCTTTCTATACGTCTATAGTGAATCAAAGACAACGACGTTCCGAAAACTACAGTCGCATAGACTTAAACGACACCACCATAGCACTAAACCAGTACGCAGATGAAAAACGTAACAGCTCCGACATGAAGGAACAAATGTACATACTCAATGCCACTGAAAACTATAAAGGCAGCTACAATGATTATAACAATGGAGAGAAGTATGTGTCCTCCATACCGAGACCAGCTGCAGGAGGAGTGTATAACAAGACACATGATAACGCAAACAGGACGAGACGTAATGAACCTCTTTTAAATAAACAAGATACTGATCAGGTAATCATCAAGTAATAATGCTTAAAAATATATTAAATTACTAAAAACATTACACATAGTAGAACATAAGTTGTAGAGGTTTACAATCACCTAAGAAGCATCGAGAGGTTCATTTAATCTTTGTTGATAAAATCTTAATAAATATCAAACTTTCTGCTCGAATATCGTGGATTGGATTGCCACTAGTATATTTAGTATATTTTTTATGTTTACCTGTATTATATAATGTCAGTATATACACAGAAAGTGATTTCTGTGTTTGACCTGTCCAATCCTAGACCGCTGGTTTTAGCAAGCTAATTTATTGTATTGATTTAATCCACTTTAATCATCTGGGTGTTATTTAAATTCCACATTATTGTACCCTCAAATCACCTACGAGCAAATAAAAAAAAACAAACATTATTTCCCGACCAATCGCCCTCGTAAATTTTGACCTATATCTGTTATGATGTTGTAAATTTCCGTATGTCCTCTATTGTATATAACTATATATTTTTAATCTGTCCAATAATTTCGAAGCCTATTCAATATAACCAAATAAACAATCAAATCTTTCGTCTTTATAATTATAGTATAGTAGTAGTACTTAATTAAAGAACTGCGTTCTCATTTGTTTCAGTGCCTCAGCCAATGTATATTCGCTAATTTGCAAGTTGTAAGTATCAATGCAAAGGTAAGGTACTAAGAAATATAATTAGTTATATGCCGTTTCCATGGAAAACACAACATCGATTTACACTTTATAAATAAAATAGATCTTAAATTATCACTGTTACAAAATAAACAGGCTGTCTCACGACTTTACTACCTCGCTAAAAGTAATTTCAGTATTGTAATCATTTCCCGTAAAATACTTCTAAATGAAGTATTACTATTCTAAATGAAATAGAGATTCCGTCGAGATCATTTCAATATTGTTTTAAACAATCAAAATTACAAAATTTTATAAATATTGTCTATACTTTGTATACACGCAAATATTAAAAAATACTTTTCCACCATCATCAGTCAATTAATATCCCCACTGCTGGTACACGGACCTTCCCCATGGATAGAATCATACAAGAAGAACGAAACACAGTCCACCAAACCATGTAGGTAAGTCCCATGAGGATTGTTGGGTGTTCACAACGGTATAAGCAGGCGAGATCAATGGCTTATCGTGCCTTCTCAAGCATGGGCGAGCTCGAAAATTAATTTTTGCTTAATCCATTCAATCGTCGATCGAGCTCACAAACCATTTCACATTTCAGAATAGTTCTTCACAGCCACAACCACAGCAAAGTTTAATTATTTAACATGCTTTTATGCTGAACAGGTAGATTCGAGGGGGATACCTCGTGAGGCCGAATTCTGGAACAAAGTGCAGTCGTCGGTGTCGTCACAGCAATCCAGGGCCGCCTTACGAGATCAAACAAGGGCATGTTTTCAGGAATTACAAGCAGGTAAGTATTGAAAAGATACCTAAAAGGTAAAGATCTTATTTTAAGGGCCTTTCGCTTGTAAGACCCGACATGGTAAGGGCCATGCTATACGATGTCATGCGGCAGGTCATAGGCAAAGAGGTATGTCGCAGAAGGAAGAAGCAAAAAAGGCACGCGTGAAGGGGAGACGCACAGGCGCCCTAAAAGGTAAAGACCATGTAGTAGGACCTAAATTTTATCATAGTGTCGTTTTTTTACAAATTATTCTACTTATCTTGTAGAAAAATACTCAAATTTGACCACAAGTGCCCTAGCCGGAATTTGAAACCGTAACTTTCACGATAGGTAACAGGACAGCAAAACTTTAACCGATTTTGAGATATAAATTTAAAACATACCTCAAAGCGACATTCAGTCAGTTGCACATACGTCCATTAAGGTTTACTAGCGACATAAGCTCGAAAGTATGTTCTAAATTAAAAAAATATACCTATATATTGGTAATGCTTTCAAATACATTGTCTTTTTAATTTATTAAAGCTTAAGCTCGTCATTTAACCTTACTGGAAGTTTGTGCATTTGGAAATATGACTGATATTAAAAGTAATTCATTTCAAATAAAACTCCAAATATAACATGAATAATATTAAAACAAATCTAAGTGACTTTAAAAACTGAAATTGTTGTAGGTATTTTACTAGGAGTTTCAATCTCGGAATACCGAGATCTTGGTATTGGGGTTTGCGGGTCTGGAAAGATCTCTCGAAGCGCGGTCACTCGGTTACTAACAAACTAAAAGGGGGGGGGGGGGGGGGGGGTGTAAACGCATTATCAATTTTCTGCCCCGGTTGGAAAAAAATTGTAGGTTCAGGCCTGTCCCACATCTGGGATCCGTTACATTGAAAATTCCTAGGCCGATTTTGTAATAATAAATTGCCGAGATTGATTACAGGCTGCGGGATTGGAAACTTTACTGCCGACTACGTCAGGCATAGTTCAAAAAGCAGTTTCTGAATAAATAATTAATAGATATTGCGCCAATATGCGGTAAAAAGGTAGTTTTCCCTTTTTTACCAATTATGTAATTTATTTCCACAGAGGCTGAAGACAACGAATGCTCCTACTCGAATAAATTAGAACGTTGCCTGATGCTACGTTTTGCGGATCGTAAAATAAATGGCACTCAACAAGTAAACAATCGAAAAACATAATACGTACCTCTAGGTATGCTAGAAATGACTGGACTGGACCTAAGCATGCAAATTGTATTGATATTGTTGACTTTAAACTTTTTATAGCAGTGGTGCATCTCAGAATAATAAAGTCTGATCTAAAAATTGTAATATGTATTTTTATTTATCACGATCTCCATGGTCGTGGCCTAAGCATATTGTTTCCATTGGTCCCCATCTCAAAACTCAATACTTTATTATGTTGCATAATTATGTTCCAATATTCTCCATGTATTGATTCTCGCACAGGTCAATGTAGAAAATGATCTTTGCGATATACTACGGAAGACTAGTCTGAATGTCACGGCACCTTTGTTTATAACTTGGGATCTACGTAAACCATGAAGTGTTGTATACTTTATTTATCTACATTCCTTAGATTACCTTAATACAACCGATCTTCACCAATGACAATATGTATAAACCTCGTTTTACTATCGAAAGTGGTTTCAAATGGCTCATGTAATATGCTCCCGATCTTGTATGTCTTGAAGTTCGCCGTCTACCATCGATTACCATATAAATCATGAGCATGATATTTTAAAAACAGGATGTAAACTAGTTGTTGAAATTGTATAATTTTATTTAGGTACGTAACTATGTTAAACTATTATTAACTATTACCTATATCTGACCATCCTGCGACGCTCTCTATTTGGTTTTTAGCGCACCGGGCAATTCAGTTTTCTTCATTCGTACTAAACTTATATTGTGAACATTCAATTTTAATAACACTACATTCTTACACACTTTTCCAATTTTAGATGTTTTGTGTGCTGCACCCGAATCGAAGAGAAGCACAACGTCGCCAATGGCGAGCGTGTTCGGTCTTTTAGCTTTAAAATCTATTAAATTGTGTACAAATATGACCTCACTCAGCGTCTATATCGTGGCGAATGCTGAAAAATTTCTCGTACTAAAAAATTTTGCATTATATTTGCCGTCCATGAAATCTAGAACAGTCTCGTGTTTCCAACTTCATATAAACATGAATCCTTCAAGATAATATAGTTTCGTCTTCTGTAAAATAAAGTTTCGTCTTGCGACAGCCATTAGTATTATTGGACTGTAATAGCGCTTTCCATTAGGTGTATGTATAACGGTCTCTTTCTCGTGTCATTATAAAAATAAATCTAAAATTGTTAAGCTAAATTTTACGAATATTAAACAATCAAGCATATAATATCACTGGATAGTTGGGGTACGAGAACGGTTGTGGAAAATAAAGAACAGGATCGTCCAAACTCAAATTTTGTAGCTCGTAACCATAAATTGGTCTCGGTAACGGTGGTAGATCTTTAGTAACCTGCAAAATGTGTGTAAATGTAATTGCGCAGAATAATTTGTGCAAATGTAATTTGTAAACGGTGAAATTGTTTGTTACTGTAAATCGTATTAAGGTTTTCTCTCCCTTTTGTAACCTACTATCATAAGAGATAAATAAGAATGAAGATGAGCCTACTTATGATATCCTACTCTACCTACCAATTTGTTACATAGGTACGTTTGTTTATCATTTATTTCAAAGGCAAAATATTTAATTATGAATATAAGGTAATATTTTAATATGAAATTTTAAATAATATGATCTATTAACGACGATACCAAACCGTAGAAAAAAATGTACACTGCAAATAAGCAAGTGGTATGTACAATATCATCAACATCATCACCAGCTTATAAATGTCCCCACTGCTGGAGTGCAGGCCTTTCCTATGAAGGAAGGAAGACTAAAAATTTTTGGTCACCCATCCTATGACCAGCCGTTGCGAAAGTTGCTTTACTTCTGTATCGCAGATCAGCTGCAGAACTGTAAGGCAGTTACCTACCGGAGGATTATAATAACCTTTCTTTGGAGTCACTCTATACCTAGAGGGACGTGAAACTGATTCAACCAGAGACAGAAGTACTAATATTATGACGGTTAAGCACAAGTAACCGTTGTGAAACATTTCACGGGCTTATCACATTTCACCTTTGCATCGTAAATCAGTTATATTCATATATAAACAATCGATTTCAATAATCGTAAAGTTATATTATGGCCTTTCAAGTGTATTTTCAATCATCATTGGCCTACCAATCTCACTACTGTTGTGATAGTCCTACCCTATGGATGGAATATTTATAATTTGGACTATTGACCATAACCCCTAACATGGGCATTCGTGAGTGTAAGTGACTGTAGATACAGCTCCATGACGAGTGCAGTGATATCACTGAATAAGAGTTCAATCAAATTAAACCTACTTATAAAAGTTAAAAATATTTATTTCATTGAAGCACTATGCAATGCAATAAAGTTTATTATTATTATTATTATGCCATAAAAGCTTGTTATGTGAAACATAAAATGGTAGTTTCTTACTTGTCTATGGTGAAAAACTCAATTGCTTTCAATTTATTTATACATATTTATATTAAATTCTGTCCAATGCATTTTTATGTCTTATTGAAGATACTAGTACTAAAGAAAATAGCAAAACATTTTATTATTATAATAATAAATAAAATTATGCTAATGTACTGTTGGTGCTAACACTGACAAAGACAATGCATTTAGAGGAAGTGGTGCTTTGCTGGCACATACTTTTGGCTGTGCTTGAATATGTTTCAACCATCTACAAACATGTAATACTGCTTCTCGTTCGACTATTGAAAGACGTTCCTGTAAATCAAGAGCAAGTTTAGTCACATAGTTTCCAAAAACAGCTTTGAATATTATATGTATTTGATTTTGGCATTAGAATTACTTTTCTTTTATTATTATTAATGGCTTATCTGCGATTTTCACATCTGATGTCCAACTTTTATCAGAAGAAATAGATTATATTAGATTTTAAAGGAGGTGAAAAAAGAGTACACACTTAAAAAAGAATATCATTAATTTAACAGGATATTTCTTGGTAAAGATTAATAGATAGGTATGCATAACTGGCACCAGTATGTTAAATATTGGGAAAAAAGAGTATTTTACTGTCCTCCTATGTGATATAGAGTACAATACTTTATTTTAGATTACAGTTGGAGATTCTTGTGCTGAGTACATTCGAGAGAGTGAATGCAAAATACTTACTATTAAACAATAAAGAACATAATATGCTGCAACATCAGCAATAGATAAATGTTGACCAGTCAAATATGTGTTTTTTTCCAATGCTTTATTGATATCCTGTAAATACATTCAATATCTGTCAGGTTATAAAAAGATTTAGTACAGTACCTAAGCACTTTAATAAAATTCAAATCATTATTATTATATTCAATTGATGATTATGTATGTGCAAAATGTCCTAGATTGATGTCTAGCATGCAAGTATTTTGAACAAACTTTAATAAAATCAAAATATTATAACTTTAGAATCAAGCAACTACTTTAAAATAGGCGACTATACCAACGTGCGCCAAAGGGGAGAGCGGGAGGGGGGAAGGGGTAAGAGAAGCATTATATATATATATATATATTAAATTTCTAAACTATCATGTTCGCGTGACCTACAGGGCAAAAATATTTTTAAGAATCTAAGATACCACCCACAGACAGAGACAATCATTAATTCTCAGGCATAATATTTAAAAGTTTCACCTGCAAAAAACTCTTTGCAAATATGGGGTTTGTTACAGCTTGATTAGAATACATTGCAATATGCTCCAACCACTGATAACACAGCAGCATCTGTTCGTGTGACATTGAGGTCCCGTTTTTAGCTGCTAATCGTAGCACAATAGTCGCAAAGCCTTCGACGTTTTGTTTATCTAGAACTGTAGTTATTACCTGAAGAGAATAGAAAATGATAGAATATATAACTATCTTTATTGCACATTTAACCTAAACACAAACATGCATAAATTTAATTAAAAAATATCCTGTTAATAAATTATAACCTACTTTGTCAGAATTGTAGCAAATAGGTCCTACGCTAATATTTAGATATTTGCCAACCAATTTAATTACATCTATATTACAAGCACACATCTTCAGTTATTGTTTTTAGTCTCTTAATTAATCGTTATTAATTAAAAGCGAAGAATTTTTGTTTAGTCCTGACACGGCTAGCCTGACACAAAGTACACAAAACGATATGTCATTATAATACTACATACATATGCATCAAAGAGTACAATAATAATATGCATTATCTGTGGCCCTGTCAAAGAGACTCAAAGAATAAAGTATTTAATTTTACTCTTTGATTTAAGGACCCTGTCTTAGGGAGAGAAACGATACGAGTAAATCAAATATAGGTATGCTTACTTGATACTTTCCTTTCCATACCAAGTACTTTAGAACCGAGTGATAAATAGCATCGTAAAGTAAAATTACGTATCGATACTTGCTTCGGTCTTGATAAGAGAATCAAAAAACTCGCATGTATAATACTGTTTACTTTACTCTGTCGTAAGGTATCTAAAGTCTATCTCATGAAAAAGTGAGGCGCGACGTCGTGATCCTATGACGGAGCAATATTACCCCTATTAATTGTATGTAGTTAGAGATCTATCTAGAGGGCACCCCCAACAACATTTTGAAGCAATACCCTTTGGCAATACCTTACTAAAGGTATACATCACTTTTTATACTTGGACCTCTTTATTCCATAAATAGAGTATTGTTATGAGGATTTTGTTTAAAAAACATTAGTTCCTAAAAACAAACTAGATATCGCTAAGGTACTTTCTTGATTTCTCCATGACAACCCTTCTGGTTTTCTTTCATGTATAAAAGTAAATTAATTTTCAAAACTCAATAAACAACTCATATTCTATTTGCAGTTTTTCGTATTTGTATTGATATCTAAATTTCAAACTTTGCAAATTTCAGTTTTTTAATATTTTAGTTAAAAGAAACGGAAATGACTATCTTTGGTCCATTCGTTTCCTTCAAAAATCAACTTAAATAAAACACGGTACACGGTAGTATGTTCATTGCCGTGTTCTAAAACACGGCAATCCAATGGTAACAATTTTTTTCAGTGATTTTATCGATAGTCGATAAGTGCGTTTATGACACATCATTAGACTACACTATACGCAGTCATTACTCTATGAGCGGGGAAATCCTGACGCTTAATTGACATAGTTTTGCACATACTTCGTTATTTTATGCATATTTTGAAAAGTTCATTATAGAGATTACTACTGTTTATTGTTTATTAAGTTTATTTAATGTGGTGTGTGAGTAAAATATTAACATATATAGTGAGGAAGAAGAGCCGAGTAATCCAAAAAAAAGTAAAGAATGCAAGTACATAAATAACTCTACCTAATTCCGACCTCTGATTATAATATAACAATGTATGTTAATCCTGAAAACTAATAAAAGTATGTGATGTTTTTAATAATAAGTACAGTATTAAATAAGTATGCCTTTTTTACATCCCACGTTTAGATCCACATATCTATGTTTTATTGGTAAGTTATTTTCTAGTTTGTTGGGGTTGACCAGGGTTGGCAATACTGCTTGTCAAGCGATTGTCAAATGAAATAGCTGATAAAAATTACAAGTTGACACTATAACTCAGTTAGTTGCCGTGTATATATCTATTTAAAAATAAGAATTTGACGACTCTAATTGAGGATGAATTAGATTTATCAAAATAAAATACATTCGATAGAAACCCATATGTTTAACATTAAACTTGCAAGTTTTTAATATCTATTCATCTTCATGTTGACTTTATGCCATAACTATTTTCGTGTTTTACCTAATAATAAAAACAATAAAGATGATAACCAACATATTAGTAAAAGGAGATACGCCTTTGGTGTGTTCATTTTATTATTGGTTGTTTTACTATGGGTATTATCATCAGAGTTAACAAAGGTAAGTTTTCATAATGTCAAGTTCATGATTTGACATTTAAAGTTCATATAAGATTTATATTTCATGTTTATTTCATTTTCAGTACATATATACTGAAAAGAAACTAGAAAGACCATTTCTAGTAACCTATGTAAGAAGTTCCTTCCTATTTATATATTTACTACTTCTTTGCTTTACACCACCAACAAGAGATCCTTGCCGCCCAGCAGATTACACTGTAAGTACCATTAGTTTACCCATTTGTCATTTTACTTTTCTAATCTTAAGCCACTGTCTCTTTTTTATTGTAAAGGAAGTTTAACAACTAGGCTAGTTGCTAGCTTAGAAGATGAGAATCTAAAAACTATCAGGTAATAAATTATTGTGAGTCACAACAATAACAGTTAATGTACTAAGGGATCGATGGCTTAAAGCTTTGCTGTTGCCCGTTTGGGCGATATACAGGTTGTTGAGTTCAACTAGGACTAACAGCTTAACTAGCTTCCGATAGAAAGCAAAGACTAATAGTGTTATACAACAATCCAAATAGGATTCTAAAGTTTGTTGCAGATGGATAACAAAGCCCCATATTGGTACACTGGATGCAGTTGCATACTAGTTTTTAATTGTATTATCTTTTATTTATTTACTAACATTAAGTTAAAGTGCTATTATTACTAACATTTATTATGGAGTTATATTTCTAAAATAAAGATGATTATTATTATATTCATTCATTCATTCATTATTATATTTATGTTTGCAACTCAAATCAAATATGATATCTACACCAAAACATTGTAGAACTTACTATCTATACATACAAATAAATAAAATTAGAGTATCTGTTTGTAATATTAAAATGCATGGTACATGTACCATTTTTTTTATATATTAAATAGATCACTTTATTTAATAGATCACTATTTGTTTAATCTGGCTAATCTCTGAAACAGCTGTACTGATTTTGAAAGGACTTTCAGTGGTTGATAGCTTTATCTTATAAGGAGTAACTTAGACTACTTTACATGTGGTCAAAATTATTGGCACAGCTAATATTTTTATGTAACCGGTAACATCTGGTAGCAACCGTTTGAAATAGGCATGTAATTATAATATCTCTAAAATAATTGTTTCCTTTTATTTCAGCAATTAATAGAACCTGTTGCTGAAACTGAAGATGAACATTATTTTAATGAGTCTACAAATAGTTTAGTGAGTACAAAAATAATTACTTTTATTTAAATTATAAATTATTTGATTTGCACAACAATAATAAAGACAAATATCACAATTTCTCCATTGAATAAATATTCAAACTGAATTCAAATGTTACTTTCAAAATAGGAAAGATGTAACTTAAAAAAAAACAGTTAAATAATAGAAAAATATTAGATACATTTTTTTTACTTCAAATTAACAAAAGATGGCTTAACTAATAGGCAGTACAAAAGTGTGACGTCGCATGCCATTTGAACTTAAAATATCGCTGTACTTTATTGATTATTCCAAAAATAATAGAAAATATGTTAAACACATATTTATTTATTTTTTGCGTAATCAATAAATTCAAAATTTTGTTCAATAATGTACAATAAGAGACAAGTAAACAAAAATTATTCTTAATGAAAAATGCTGAAGAATTTTTTCAGTATGGCATTGTGAATCCAATATTGTTCAAATATAATAAACAAAAGTTAGTCACCATTATTCTAAGTGTGCTCAATCAAGGTCATGGTCAGATACTAAAACAATGCTTGTTGATGTTACTATGAAACATAAAAACTTACAGTTGGCAAATGTCTTTGAAATTACGTTAAACACAGCTTTTGTCTAAAACAATTACTGCAGGATTGGCATATAACAATTTTTTTTTTCTATATTTCGTCTATTCATATTGTCTTATTGGTGGTGGTAACTATAGTAAAATAACTAGACGAGCCGAGTGGTTCGCACGCCGGTTTCATATTGTCGCCATCTCTGAGATGCCGGGTTCGATTCCTGGTTGGGTCAATAATGTCCTTTTCTATATTGTCTCGGGCCTGAGTCGAGTAGGACCTTTGTTGTCTCAAATACTATGGAGATATTTATCTACTCATCTTAGTCATGTATGTGATGTTATAAAATTGTTATTTAACTAAATACTTTCTTGTTGTCCCTGAGTAGTATGACAGTTTGGGTTTGACCTTTCCATTTTACATACCACTCGCAATAGTTCTGTCTAGACATGCCAATTTGCAATACTTATTTTTGTTATTATTTTAGGGGGATTCTACATTTGTACCAGTGCGTGCTGGAGAAACCACAGATAGTGATGATGCAGCCCCAAGGGCAGTGCGCTTTAACAAAGTTGCTGAAGTATGTTTCGAGAAACAATCAAGAACTTTATTATTTAGTTATATAAGTAGCTTACAGTTTTGTGCCTCTAAAGAAAAACTAATATAATAATAAAACAATTAGATACATATTCAAGTTAACAAGACATTACTTAGATGATAGGCGACGTCTGGGGGCTTGTGCCTTGCAACTATATAAATCTACAAAGGTGTGATGTCATGTGACATTTCAACTCAATTGCAGTCATTTATTAATTATGCAAAAATTACTTGTTTATTATCAATAATCTACCTTGCAAACAAAAAATAGTTTTCATCGTAATGTTGGAACTGCCAATATTTTCAATAACAAATACTAATTATAATATAAACACCATTGAATATTTAAATTTTACTGTATACTAAAAGTTATTTAAGGATTTGTTGTTCATGTTGTAAGATAATACTGTTCATGCTGTGTACACTGTTTTTGATTATAGTCTAGTCCAAATACTTTAAATATATTTTTTAGGTTTCTCTTTTGATTATGATCTATTTGTGTACCATTTATAAATAAATAAATTTAGGAATTGCCAGTCGAAGCTCAAAGAATGAATCTTTAGAGCATAGGCATCAACTCAAGCACACCCTAAGCTTTACTATTCCACGTAATACTTCGTAAAAGTAAGAGACGGCGTTGGACCGTTGTTTACCTAAATTTTAGTTGCCTTCTCCAGCTGTCAAAATGACGCTGCGTTTTAGAAACTGTGCTACCGACTAAGAGACGAGACCGTTATTTACTGAGTTTTCGTTATTTTATATTTTAGAATGAAGGCTACGACACCGTCATTTTAACAGTTGCCTTCCCCGTTGATAACCTCTTAATTATTATGGTTTAGGTGCGGGTCATGTCAGCAGCTATGGCGGGCGAGGCGTTACTCGCTCGCCTCTCGTGGGCCGCTTCAGTGCGGGCCACTGAATACGCGCAACGTCGGGCCGCTGCTGCTGCGACGAGACGTCATCTCAAACTCGCCCTGATGTTTTGTATACCTGTATGAGATTCAATTGTATATTTTAACGTTATTAAACATGGACATACCTAGCGTTTACTTGGGAGTGGTTTAATAGATTTACTTAAGGTGGGGCAAAAGTAAGGCCATCCAATAAAAAAAATAGAAATTTAAAATTATTTTCATAATCTTGACCCCTATTACAATAACTTGGGAGGATTCTTGCTAAATCTAGTTAAAATTTAGGTTTTCATCGAATTATGTTATGATGAGTGTATTTATTTTTGTTACTTCATATGTAAAGTTTTATATTATGGTTAAGGGCCATACCATAATATTATTATATGTATAAATGTCCACACAAAAATATTTGGTCAATTCGAACCCTACTAGTAGTAGGTAGCAAACAAACACAAACTTCATCTTTTTAATATAAGTATAAATTTATTATTATTATACTTTATAAATTTTGTGTTTCCAGTGGTTCATATCCAACTATTTGTATCGGCTAAGTATTCTGCATACGAACACGAGTTCAGCATGCGTATACGCTTCGACTACGGGCGCGTTCGCTTTGTCGATCGGCGCAGTGTTTGCGCAGGCGTCCCAAGATCATTTCTCCTTATCTAAAGGCGTGGCTATACTTCTAACTGCCGCTGGCTTGGTGAGTTATGAAAATAATTATCTATTATGAAATTAAATTGGGTATTACACTCTGATTGCAAAAATAGGTACTTATATATTTTTTTTATTAAATAAACCATTTTTTTTTAAGATATGCGATCACCTTAAGACTGTGATATAAAGACGATATATCAAAATACAAGAGTAAAATTCATTTTAATATGAACAAGGGAGGCAATCAAAACTGTTTATTGATGTTTCTGTAACCGGATAACTACTGTACTAAATTTATTAAGTACTTATCTTCTCCCTTCGCTCTACCCAAACAGTTGAAAAAAGCTTAATTAAGTAATATGACGCAAATTTCGGCGTAGATGCCAACACTAGCAAATGCAGTAAACAAACATAATTTTTTTAACTTTTTTCCTTGTGGAAATAATTGATTCACTTTCTTCTTACTTTCAAATATGTAACCATGATCTATCTAAATATATATAACTCAAAGGTGACTGACTGACATAGTGATCTATCAACGCACAGCCCAAACCACTGGACGGATCGGGCTGAAATTTGGCATGCAGGTAGATGTTATGACGTAGGCATCCGCTAAGAAAGGATTTTGATCCATTCTAACCCAAGGTGATAAAATATGGGATGAAACTTTGTCAATTTTAAACTGATCGGGCTGAGAATTGCATGCATAAAACTACTATGACATAGGCGTCCCCTTAGAAATATTTTTGATAAATTCCACCACTAAGGAGATAAAATAGGGGAAGAAAGTTTATGTCAGGTTCTTTTCGGGCAACTTTTAATGATTAAATATTCGTTAGAAATGCTGCTCGAAGTAACTTTACCACGCGGTCGAAGTCGCGGGCAAAAGCTAGATATTAGATAAAATTACACTCTTTCTAATATTATGAGTAAATTTAAAAATATTCTATTCTAAGTATGCCCACTATTACTTAACTCTTTGGTCAGTACTCTGTGTATGAAGTTGCTAGTTATTGATTATCTTTGACGTTTATTAAAAACTGTTTAATTTGTGTCAGTGCCCCAGTCTGGCGACAGAATGTTGCATTTATACATCCTACTTAATAACTTATCAATATTCAGGTAGTTTTAGGCGTTTCGGAGAGTCACCAAAGTAATTGGACAGCAGTTCTAGCAGCTCTAGGCTCCGCGCTTTGTTATGCTGTTCACCTTTTGTTATTACGAAGAGAACTGAGGAAAGGCGACGGAATCAATTCCCCACTCCTAGTTGGTAAGTTTAATTTGTTATTATGAGACTGACAACGTAGAATGTCATGTTCTAATATACAGCTATAGACAATAAGGGGCCATCCATAAATTACGTCACACGTTAGGGGGGAACGAACTGTGACATTAGAACAATATTTAGTAGAATTTGTATAGACAAACATGTGACAGGAAGGGGGGGGGGGGGTTAAAAATCATGAATTTATGGACGGCCCCTAAACGAAAAAAAAATTTTTTTCTGGTAGTGTTTTTAATATATTATTACCGATAATCACACTTTTATGCTTAATATACTGGGAGCAACAAAATGACCGACACAGCCGAAAGTTTCAAGTTAGGTTATATGCAAACGTTCATTTTATTTGACAAATATTTCAATATAGAGGAGGTGTAAAAATGGAGTAAAAATTTTAAATTTCTAAGTGTTGAGAGCCCTATAACGCGCATTGCGCAATATCGATTGTGCGCAGATAACAACGGACCGCGAAATACATTTATTTAATTACACTGCCCAACAAATATCTACTTCATAAAATTTTCCAAGAAAATTATTATCACGTTTAATGTATTTTGGTGTGGTCATTTCATAAATATCACTGTTTTTTGTGTAGCAGCTCTAGTTTTTAAGATTCTTCAAACTACCCGCATTTTAGGTGACGGAACAATTTAATTGAGTTTCAACGAGTGCATTATTTCTTTTTTTCACAATCAAAACAACGGCTACGAAGAAGAGACGTTGTTTAAACGATTCAAACAGTTTTTGTGTTATTTGTGGCGAATACACCTTTGCAAAGTATCGTAAATCGATCACGGACTTCGTTAAATCTGCCTATTTCAAGTACTTTGGAGTGCATATTTCCAATCTACAGAAACCATGGGTGCCTAATACCGTGTGCCAAAATTGTGTTGTCTCTTTGCGACAATGGTCAAATGGAAAAAGATCAGCTCTCAAGTTCAAGACACCCATGATCTGGCGGGAACCTCGTAATCATCATGATGACTGTTATTTTTGTATGGTTAACATTACGGGTATAAACTCTGCAAACCGGGATAAGTGGTCATATCCGACGTTGTCTTCTGCTCAGAAGCCCCTTACACACTCAGACCAATCACTAGCACCAGTACCATCGACATCATCAACAAGTTTTGAACCAGAAAATATAGAAAATGAAGAAGAAAAACAAGATTCCGAGTCTGATTTCACACCTAGTCAAGAGACAAAACCTCAACCATTCAATCAAAGTGAGCTAAACGACTTAATAAGGGATTTAAATCTATCGAAAGAGTCTTCTGAAATTTTGGCATCTCGTCTGAAAGAAAAAAATCTACTTACTCCAGATACAAAAATTACATTTTATCGTACTCGTGAAAAAGATTTACTTCCATATTTTTTCTCTGAAGAGAATTTAGTTTACTGTAATAATGTTGAAGGTCTTATACAAAAGATGGGTTTACAAAAATATATACCAAGCGAATGGCGTCTTTTTATTGATAGCAGCAAAAGAAGTTTGAAGAGTGTACTTTTACACAATGGAAATAAGTATGGTTCTATACCTATAGGACACTCAACTTCTATGAAAGAAAGATATGAAAATATATCTTTAGTGTTGGAAAAACTGAAGTATGACGAGCATAGCTGGAAAATTTGCGTAGATTTGAAGATGGTAAATTTCCTCCTAGGACAACAGGCGGGTTATACTAAATATCCGTGTTTCATATGTTTATGGACAGCCGCGACAAAAACAAACATTGGACTCAAAAAGTATGGCCACTAAGGAAGTCAGTGATTGTTGGTAAGCAAAATGTAATCAATCCACCTTTAGTAAATCAAGATCGAATTATATTGCCACCACTTCATATAAAACTTGGTATTATGAAGCAATTTGTTAAAGCCATTAATAAAGATGGCGAATGTTTTGCTTTTCTCTCAAAGAAATTTGCTGGACTGAGCAACGAAAAGTTGAAAGCAGGCATTTTCGATGGTCCACAAATTAGACAATTGATAAAAGACCCCAATTTTGTCGAATATATGAACGAACTTGAAAAAAGAACGTGGAAAAGTTTCGTTGCAGTAATTCAAAACTTTCTTGGGAATCATAAATCAGAAAATTATTTTCAATTAGTTAACGATATGTTGTCCAATTTGAAACTTCTAGGATGTAACATGAGTATTAAATTACATTATTTACATTCTCATTTGGATCGATTTCCTGAAAATCTTGGAGATTATAGCGAGGAGCAAGGTGAAAGGTTCCACCAGGATATTCGCACGATGGAAGAACGTTACCAAGGGAGGTGGGACATACACATGATGGCCGACTACTGCTGGAATCTTTGTCGGGATCAAATACAGAAGCCTCATTCAAGAAAATCTTATAAAAAACATTTTTTTCCCCGAACCGCAGTAATTATTTCAAATAAAGTGTGTGAAAAAATCATAATTTTATATTAATTTTTAACCTACATGTAAATTTTAAACTAGAGCTGCTAGAAAAAAAACAGTGGTATTTTCGTAATCACCACACTTAATTTAATTGAAAACATGTGGAAATACTCTGGAAAATTTTTCAGTGTTGACCAGTGTTATTTACCGCTATCTTAATGATAGTCGATGCTGAAAATGTCCAATTCTTCTCTGAAGAAGCATGCTCTTTTGCATGCCAGTGCATGTACGCGCAAAACACATCATATTTCACACAAAACTAAACACAATCTTCACTAAAATAAACTTAACACTCGAGACGAACACTAGTATCTTATTAACAAAAATTTAATTAAAAATGCACTAGAACAAAACAAAAATTGACAAAAAGTCGCTTCGCAGCGGTATGTTGGCAGCGATGCAATAACGTGCCTCACGCGCAAATGTCTGGTGGTGACTGAAACAAAGGCGCCGACGCCGACAGAACAAAAAAAGTCGCGTGCATGGCGAGTTAATGAGTAAATGGAGCTCGGTTCGCTTTGGATTTGATAACCAGGGACGAATTCAGTTTATCTATTTTTCGAATAACCAAACCCTTACTTCTGTTTTCGAGGGTCATAACGAATCGTCTCGAACGCCGGTTTGATGACTTCCAGCCTCCCGAACAAGCCGGTTTCCGAAAAGGCTTTAGCACCATAGACCACATACATACGCTGCGGCAGATTATACAGAAGACCGAGGAGTATAATTTTCCACTTTGCTTAGCGTTTGTGGACTATGAGAAAGCCTTCGATTCAATCGAAACCTGGGCAGTACTGCAGTCCCTCCAGCGATGCCAAATCGACTACAGGTACGTCGAAGTGTTGAAGCGTTTGTATAGCAACGCCACAATGTCGATTCGCTACCAGGAAGAGAGCACGAAACCAATCTAATTGCGCAGAGGCGTGAGACAGGGAGATGTCATTTCTCCAAAACTGTTCACGAATGCATTGGAGGACGTCTTCAAGCTCTTGGAATGGGACGAATACGGCATCAACATCAATGGCGAATACATCACTCACCTTCGTTTCGCCGATGATATAGTCATCTTGGCAAGATCAATGGAGCACATCAGTACAATGCTCAGCGACCTGAGTATCGTTTCCAAACAGGTGGGTCTTAAAACGAACATGAACAAGACGAAAATCATGTCGAATATCCATGTTGCACCCGTACCGGTGGTCATTGGAACTGATACTCTCGAAGTTGTCGATCACTACGTGTACCTTGGACAGACAATCCAGTTAGGTAGATCCAATTTCGACAAAGAGGTCGCTCGAAGAATCCAACTCGGCTGGGCAGCGTTCGGGAAGCTTCGCGATATCTTCACGTCCAAATTACCACAGTGCCTAAAGACGAAGGTGTATAACCAGTGTGTGTTGCCAGTGATGACCTATGGCACTGAAACGTGGTCCTTAACTGCTGGCCTCTTAGAGAAGCTCAGAGTCGCTCAGCGAGGCATGGAGAGAGCTATGTTAGGGGTTTCTTTGCGCGATAGGATCCGAAACGTGGATATTCGCCAAAGAACTAGAGTGACCGACATAGCTCGCAAAGTTTGTAAGCTGAAGTGGCAGTGGGCAGGCCACATCGCTCGACGAACCGATAACCGATGGGGACGAAAGGTTCTCGAGTGGAGACCACGAACCGGAAGACGCAGCGTGGGTCGACCCCCGACTAGATGGACGGACGACATCGTCCGAGTCGCGGGCGGCCACTGGATGCAGCTGGCGCAATGTCGTCCATCGTGGCGTTCAAAGGGGGAGGCCTATGTTCAGCAGTGGACGTCTTCCGGCTGATGATGATGATGATGATGATGAAACCCTTACTTAGTGTTTTAACATAAAGTACATTTGTGATAATGGTTCACTATTATCACAAATGTACTTTATATTAATGGATGATGAATTAGTTTAACTACTTTAATAAATTATCGTGTTATTTGATCCATTTAGTTACAATTTTTTGGAAAGTCTGACTATTTGAAATAATGTAGTAACGTAATGAAAATTAGTTAACATTAGAATAATCTTTTTACAATGATTTATTAAATGTTAGTCTATTAATTAATTTCAGCATTTTGACTGATTCGTTTAGTGAGTCAGTTTGAAATTGTTAAAAAACATTTAACTAACATTACTTAGTTTTCGTTTGCGATTAGTTTTTTGATGGTAAATTGATAGCAGTTTGATAAAACTAGGACTATTTGACTTGTGAAATTAAAAAAAAACGTAGGTTATTGTGATTAAGCAGTAGAGATTTTCTACTTTTTCAAATCAGAAACCGGCTGTTATTCTGTCAATCGATTTAAGCATTTTGACTGCCATGTTTAGTGATTGTCTGGTAGAATTTGCATGAAAGCGGTCTTATAAATCATAAACTAGTTTATTTCGTGTTTAGAAATGAAGAAGTCAATGACCGATTTGAAAACTTGTTCCTTAGTACGTCCCAAAAACAGCTGATTCAGGGTTGAAAACACTCATTTTTTTCCAAAAACTTTGTAATTTAATATCTCCGAAACTATTTGACCTAGACATATAATTTTTTTTACATCATATTAAAGACAAATAGTACTCTCCAGGAACCTCGGGAGTGTCGGTCGTTCTGTTCCACCCAGTATTTATAATATTGCTTAAATTGATTATGAAAAAGGAAATATTTTAAACTCGTTGTCACGTTACCGTAAACAGCGCGTCACGTCACACTACTCATATCAAAACTTAGAAAATTAAACCTTATGCATACATAGAACGATATTAGTTTCAGAGGGACGTAACGTTCTGTGCGACGCCATGAAAGAAGATGGCGTTTGCGCGAGAAATTTTTTAAATAATTTTTTTAGCTTATATCTTATTATACGAATGATATTTTTTTATATATTTCATGTGTGATGTATATCTATAAGATAAAAATATTAAAAAAGTCGTCTACACGCCTATTTGATCAATGGCGTTACGTTTTTATTGTTTCTTGATCATTCAAATCATCATTTATTGCGAAAGCGATTGCAACCTTAAACGTTACATAATTCCATATTGCTATCAAGTCGCTACTTCTTTGAAAGGGATTCGATAGTTTATATAATTAGACAATAAGCAATTTTACTAATTTTGTAAAATAGTTTTAAATTAATCTTTGTTACCTGATAAGCACATTACGTTAATATTTCGGAGAAATTTACTGTATTTAACAATAAAAATCAAAGTAAAAATTAAATTTCCGAAACCGCGCGAAAAACGCTATGTTTGTCACACGACGTCATGCTGTCAATAAAAAGCCGTATTTACTGGAGTGTAACGTCATCGGAGTTGCAACTACATACAAGGCGTTCTCAGATAAAAAGTAAAAAAAATATTTTAATTTGTGAATGCAACTTTTGATATATTTTTAATGTTGTCCAATACCCGTACCCGTATTAGTATTAGGCTACCGATTAATATATATCGATATATTGTTTAGGTTTAGTGGGTTGCGCTTGCGGTTGCCTAGCATGGGTGGCGGGCGGTGCGCTAGCGGCGGCGGGCGTGGAGAGAGCGGAACTGCCCTCGCCCAGACTATGGACCTGGCTGCTGTTAGACGCAGCCCTAGGACCAATAGCCATCGAGTCACTCTGGCTACTGTCAGTATACTAACCACGTATAATAATAATATATTTTTATTGCACGCTACACAGCACATATTACAAAGAAGTTAGAAAAAGAGAAAGAATAGAAAGGGCGGCCTTATTGCTAAATAGATAGTAAATAGTCTAAATCTAAATCTGAATTAGTCTCTAAGTATAAATATATTACTAGTTTTTAAGGAAGTGTGTACTTGTGCAACAAAACGTTATTAAATGTGAGCTTTTCTTATGGCTTCAGGCATCGAATTCGAAAGACATTCTGCATGAACGGAAAATGAGTAGGATAAGAAGTCGGTAGTATGATGAGGAATGATGAGGTTAAGTTAAAAGAATATGTACTTACTTATTATATTTTATATATTTCTTTATATATTTCTTTATATTTCTTTAATTATTTCTTTAACAAATTGTCATCTTAATCGAGGGTTTAAATAAAATATTTGTAAAAATTGTTATGGTGGATTGCCTGAGTGGTAAGTGTAAGTTTTACGCTAACGCGTTCACTAGTGAGCGCGTTAAGAATTTGTATGAAGATTTGTAGTTCTTGATAGTTACCGCTAGGGGCGCTTTGCCGAATTCCATACTAAAATCTTAACGCGCTCACGATCGACAGTGAACGTAAACGTCAAAAAACTTACACTAAGCGCTCTGAACATTGTTAAAAATACGCTCGTTAGTAGCGAAAAGTAACAAGTACGTGAAAAATTGGGCAATTCTGTTAGGCTTTATGGTTAGAGCAGTCGCTCGTATTGCGAAAGATCGTGGGTTCGAGTCCGATCTTATAGTACCTGGTGCTGGTGAATTTTTTAAGCATTTTTCATTAAGAATATGTACTTGATTATCTAGATTTGATTGCTTCAATAAGACCCTTGCCTGTTTATTAGAAACGGTAGTAAAAATAAGTCACGAAATATATACTAATATTACATACAACATAGTTCCTAATCCTAAAAAAGGGGGTGCGATCGCCTAACTCTAGCCATCATTCTAGCCATACAATAAATCTAAGCGATGCTATGTCGATATTTTGTTACATTTTCCTACTTAATTAACGATGAACGAATGATAGAGAATGAAGATTATGGTTTTGACAGCTGCGTGACCAAATTATTAATATGTCCACCAAAAGACATGTCAAAGAAGTCGCATGAAACGAAATATCAAGGCGAGACTAGGTAGTCGGTCACTTTGCCGTTCCTAACGTTACACCCTGTAAATATAGATATCTCGGATTGTTTTTATATTAGTTTTAGGCTTGATACTATTAAGGTATGGATGGGAAAAGAAGTTTTTGTTTCTTTTTTTCATCCTATTGATTTTTATTAGGGTTAATTAGGCTTTATTCAAATCTGGTTATCTAGTAATAATATCCGCGTGTAGGAGCGCTGGTGACCTGTGTAACGGTTTTTGTAAAAAAGACCTATTTCAGGCACCAGCTCTTCACAGTAAGGATTTATACACGAGTGATTGAAATTCCTATATTTTAATTTTAAAAAAACCTATTGTGAAGAGAAAATAAATGAATTTATTATTATTATTATATCTATTTTTCCTGTGTTTATGTTAAATCAATGAATTTAAATAGGGGTAAATCGTATACAACGTCGGCTACCGCTACCAGCATGCTCGGTCTGACGTTACCGATGGCGGTGTGCGTGGAGGTGTACCGTGGTGCGGGGTCGTGGTGGCGCAGCGTCGCTGCGGTGTTGGCCGCGGCGGGATGGGTGACCGCCGTGCTGGATATACCGCAGATATCGACACCGCTCACGTGGATCACCAGCAGGTTACGGGCCGCTGAAGGATTCACGTGAGTGTTTATCCTCAGCCCTCTTACGTCCCCACTGCAGGGGCTCAGACCTTTTTCCTTCCCTCTGTATGGGGAGGAGGATCCGGAATCCAGCAAGGAGTCCGCCGGATCTAACCCCACTTCAGGATTCCTCTTGCGAACTTTTGACCACTGATCGCTCGGGGGGGGCTCAGGCCTACGCTACCACTACCAAGCTACCATTTGGATGGTCAAAGAGAATCCTCCACGCTGGCTCAATGCGGATTGGAGGGTATTGACGATTGCAAATGTAACCGGAACCAACGGCCTAACGTGCCTTCCGAAGCACAGAGTAGCTCGCTATAATAATATTTTGGGCTTAACAACAACCATAGGGCCGCACTTATCCACTACACCACCGAGCTATACTTTTTTAAAATTATATTTGGGTAACAAATAATATTAATTATCAATGCAAATAAAATATTAAAAATAGCTCATAAATGAAATCTTTATACAGGCTATTTTTTAATCAATACATAATTTTTGTGGGTATATAAAAAGGTCATTAACCCCAAATTAAAAAAATACTAAGATATTATTGTTGCTTGATATTTCTTCTTCAAATCAAATCAAAATTTGTTTATTCGGTTTAGGCTTTTACAGAGCACTTGTGAAAGTCGAAAGTGAAAGTCTTTGTTATTAAGTCACCTATTTCTTTCCCCAGGGCTATAAGAAACATATCTGATTTAGATGAACAGTCTGAAGCACTAATGTCGTCTGACGAGCCGACGTAACGGCCCGCTAGAGGGCGCGACGAGAATCGCTTTATACTGCACCTATTAATCTAAGCTCACGAGCAAACAAAATAAAGTTGAGTTCACAGTGCACCTTAAATATGTACTTGAAGTACCTTAACAGTCAAGGTATTGTAAAACAGATTGTTCTACATTCGTATTAATACGATATATTCTAGATAAAGGTGATTAGATCTCAATATGAAAATTCTACTACGATATCTTCATCACAAAATTAATGAAAATAGTTTAAATGTTGTAAAAAAAACAGGCCAAATGCAAGTTACAATTGCACACGAAGGGTTGCGTACCATTATATGAATAAACAAAATTTAAAAAAATCATTTCTTGTATGAGAGCACCCCTTAACAATTTATTTTATTCTGTTTTTTGTATTTGTCGATAAAGCGGCACCAGAAATACATCATCTATGAAAGTTCTCCTGTTTAGCTATCACGGTTTATGAGACACAGCCTGGTGATAGACAGACAGACAACGGAGTCTTAGCAATATGCTCTTTTTTGTCTGTTAGATACGGAACTCTGAAAATAACAAACAGTAATCTGAATTTTTATGAATACACATTTTTATATTGATGTTAATTGTTGTGTACATTATTTATTACTAAAATATTAATTGTGTACAATAGTTCAGTGTGTATTAGTTTTATGTATAAATTGTGTATACAGTGTGCACCGAGTTTTGTGTGAACAGACACTATTACTAGTCTATCTTATGATTAGCATTTATGAAAAGTGAATAAAATTAGTTTATCGTAAATATAGTGTCGACCATTCCATAGTGTTTAGTATTATATAACTACTTTACTGTAAGTTGCACAAACGTCCATTAAGGTCTAATGATGCCTTTAAAGCACTTATGAATGTCAAATTTGTATGGGTAATGGCGCTTTAAACTAATGAAAACTTTAATGGACATTTGTGCAACTGGCTGTTAGTGCAATACGAGTCAAGATAAATCTTGTATACATAAATATGAATGTCACGTACAAGTAAATATAATTATCACTGTTAATTCTTGGATAAGCATTGTAATCGTTTCTTTGTGTGCATAATTAATAATAAATTAATGACTAATTCAGTTGCTCTGACTAAAATGTTTTAACATATTACTGCGAGATTTTTACAGTTTTCAAGTCGGTCTGATATTCGGTAGTCTAATTTTTTAATTTTAAATCTATTGTATTCCCATACAATTCGACATATAAAAGATGTTTACGCATATTTGACTTATGATACTAATTGCGATCGCTAAGTCTATTTAGAAATATATTTAATGGATGATATCGTTTATTTGACGTTATTTAGAAATGTCTAATGCAAGCGTTAGACGCAAATATTTTTGAAATATTAAACGAAAGAGTTAAATGCTAAAGATTCAACATTCGTCACAAAAACAACTGCGACTTTAAACGTTACATAATTCCATAAATCTCTTATTACAATCGCTGTACCTTTGAAAGGGGTCGCGATAGATTTTAAAATAGACTACTAGCCGCAAGTATGAATTGAGAACATCTTGCTCGATTAAAAAGTAAGTTTTTGAAATGACAATACTTCATTTTTCACTCTAGCGGTGCCTTCTCATCTCTAACTTAGGGTTGTACAAACGCGTTTTCTATCGTAATTTATCAAATGTATGTTAATGGTAGTTTATTGTGTGTAAATAATCATTGTTAATATTACTCTTATACAATCATGTTCTAAATTACACAAACTGACAACTCTTAAAAAGTGTTATTGACTCGTTTCAAAACTGTCCTCTGATAAAACGGGAAATTGTTGTAATTTAAAATGCTTAGACGGGCCATTTGAAAAGCTATAAGGTTTTAAAATAGGGCAATTGAAATTATTGGAGTGATCCTCATATAGGTAGCCATTATTTGATGCAGTTTGTTAATGTTAAATGCTTTGTTTATTAATTCTTATTTTCGCACAGTTTGTGACATAGATTACGTTAATGTAGTAAAATGCATTCCGCAGTTATAATATCGCCATTTGGATCGAAGTATTTGTTAAATTTATAGATCTGCAATTAAATGTACTTAACTGAAAACTGTATGACGGTTAGAAATTATATTATAATTATATTTGTCGACATGAATACATACCGCACTTTGTTACAACTCAAATCTAACTTATGTTTATTTAATTCTTGTTTATTTGCGGCTGTAACCTATCGCTCTAAGTATAATTATTTCTATTTACAATATGAATGATACAGTATTATTGTAAGTGAATTATTTATGTTACGAGATTTGTGGCAATAGATTTTATATTACTAGATTTTTGTGTTTCACTTATTATAGATAACAGTCTATAATTATTATAGATGGAAGCTAAAGGTCAGTCACTCGCCACGAAATCTAAAGCCTAGTTCGCATTAAGCTAGTATTTTAGTCTAGTAGCGAGTAGTTTAGTAGCAAAACGTGTCTGAACTATAAAAATTTTGTAGAGTAGCTTAGTAAGTAATTTAGTCGAGTCGATCCATTTTATTCTATTTTTTCGGGCAAGTAGTACCTCCCATCACATGTCCGAGCTTACCGAATCACAGATTAAACGAATTCGAATCTGTCAAATTAGTCGAGTTCAATAGGTAGTTGTCTAAAAAATGTCGTTTCGATGGAGCGAAGAAACAACTTTAAAATTCGTTTCCAAATATTTGAAAAATGATTGCTTGTGGAATATTAAGACCCCGCATTATAAAAACCAACAAATGAAACAATCCGCGTACTTGGATTTAGAAAATACAATGAATAAACCCGGTTTGGTGAAAATAAATTTCCACGTCCACCTCTTCTAAAATAGCCGTTATAATGAGGAAGTATTTAAAAAAAAACATTAGTTCTCGAAATTAAATTAGATGTGGCTACGGTACGTTCCCGATTTCTCCATGACAACCTTTACGGTTTTCTTTCAAGTTTAAAAGTAAATTAGTTTCCAAAATTCAATAAACAACTAATATTCTATTTGTACTTTTTCGTATTTGTATTGATATCTAAGTTTCGAACTTTTCAAATTTCAGTTTTTTAATATGTTAGTTAAAAGGAACGGAAATGACAGTCTTTGGTCCATTCGTTTCCTGCAAAAATCAACTTTTGCTAGAGTCGCCATGTAGTGGAGGAGCTTTTGAAGTGCTTTCGTTTTTTTTTTATACTTCTTCATTCCTTATTACATAAACTATCTGCCATGAAAGTCCCGTCAAAATTATTCTAACCGTTTCAGAGTTTAGCCGTAACAAAGAGACCCAAAAAATGTAAAAAACATTATTTTGGTATTAGACGATTTATTTGTAAAAATAAAACCGTAAGATCCGCTCATTCATTCATTGGAAATTCCCCAATCAAAGAGTAAAGTTACCTATTTGTTCATGGGATTATTCCAGGGTTGCCATAATAGATAATAGAATATCTACTAATAATATTCACAATCGCGATCCGCTATGGATTGCTGAGCCATCGAAGTAAAGTAAGTAGGTACTATACTAACGTTTTAAACTTTTCCTAATGTTTTGAAATATAATCGATGGTTAATCGTCAATTAGGAAATCATAATCGATGGCGTCTGATTATTTGAAAAATAGATTAATCGATTAATGATAATCGATTCCGCACACCACTACTACACTTTTGTTCTGTGACTACTACTGTCACATCCACATTTTAAGTAAATATTATAGTTTTTAGGTTAAATTTAAAGTATTTCTTCTATAATTTCTATTAAAAATGTCTTCGACGCGACTTTTTGTTGGTAACTTACCAGATACTGTTACAGAAACTGACATAAGTACTGTTTTTTCTAATTACGGACACATTGTTAACGTGGATTTCAAAAATAAAAGTGACTCAAGTAATAATCAGAAACATTTTGCTTTTGTGACCATCTCTGCATCTAACTATGAAATTGAATCTTGTGAGTTATATTTTCTATTATCTATGAATTTTTTGATCCACTAATTATGTATAATTAACACAGATCTTATGGAAAGATGATATGTTATTTTGTATAGTTTGTCTTAATTCTTAATTTTGCTTCTTGTAAAAATTGCAGGCATAAAACATTTTTCAACTGAAGATTTTCATGGGCAACGGCTTTTTGTGACACGCGCTCGTGAAAGTTTTTTAGAGCGATTACAGAGAGAGAGGCAAGAAGCACAAAACAAGGAAGCAGAAAAGGTAGCTATTATTTTATTTAGGGTTGACAACTAACTGTATGAAATGCAATCATTTAATAATTATTTTTATTTCTATTTACTATTGTTTATCTGTCCTGACACTAGATCCTTGGTGGGGTTAGCAAAGAGAACTGGGTGCCACTAGGTTCAGTCTTATCACATGTTAATTAAGCAGAATAACAACACGGCTACAAAAACTACTTAACTACTTTCAAATATCATCAAAGGCCAGTAGCGAAAAAAGTCATTTAAATCTATTAGAAACAAAGTACAATTATTAAAAAATGTATTCTTTCTTTTATCTGCAGTAGCTGTTACTTTCATAGTTTCATTATTGAAACTACAATTTAATTATTTACTTAATCTTTGAGCATGTCTGCTGCTGGGTCTTGATATGTGAAAGTATTTCTCAACATTTTTGTTATTGTGTAGTTGTTATGATTAATAAGCAAATTATCTTATCTTGATTATAATTACAAATAATACCATTATATATTTCAATATAATATTCCAGAATATTATTAAACAAGAACACCCAAAAAAGAATGTTGTTTTGAAGCTAAGTGACAAGTTGAATCCACGTAAAAGGAAATTAGATACACAATATGATTCTAGCAACAAAGTTAATAAGCCGTTTGAAGAATATAAAAATAAAATTAACACCTTCCACAATATCAATACAAAAAAAGAGGAAGAAGTATCTAAAGTGGATAAAAAGAAACAGGAGGCAGATAAAAAAAGGATGGAGTCAATAAAAAGGAAAACTCGAGAATTCAAAGAAAAACAAAAGATTATCAAAACAGGTCTTGTTGGAATTGTAAGTAGTTGTTGTAGGCACATAACTACACAAATATCTCAATGTTAATAATTTTTATATTTTTTCAGGATATAGTGGCAAATAAAAAAGTAATATTTTCAGATAGTGATGATGATTCTAAAATGATAGTGAACACTAGTAAGTCCACAATTACAAAAGAAAAAAATTGTAAAAATCTCTTTGATGACAATGAGAGTGGTGATGAAGTTAACTTTGAAATTAAACAACAATTTGAAGGCAAGAAGGGACAAAAGGTAATTATTTTCATTATGTTCTCCATCCAAAGATTGTCTGGTAGAGATTGCTCTAAGCAATAAGACTAATAAATGTCACACTGTAACATATATTAAATATGTGTATAAATTTCTGTATTCATGGTGTTGACAATAAAGAGTTATTCTATTTTATTTCAATTAAATTTATTTAAGTTAATGGTTTAAAAATGTAAAATACTGTATAACACAATAGTTTACTAAAATATACTGTCACACTATATCTCAAAAATATGTATTCCTCTATAAAATTATTAAATTTATGTACTTTTAGAAATAGTTGTACTTGACACTATTTAATTTTAGTTTGAATTAATGAAATATGATCTAAGGTTTTAGATTTGCAATCAAGATATAAATCTGATAAACGGTTCATCTTAGATGAAAGGTTTATAGAAGATGGAGAGTCTGAAGAAGAAGAATATAATGAAGCTCACGATAATGAAGACATTGATTTGGGAAATGCAGATGAAAAAACAAAGCAGCTAAACATATTGGAAGATGTACTTGGTGTCTCAATCAAACCTCGAACCAAAAAACTTGAAGAAAAAAAATATAAGTAAGTTATACTTATTTACAAATTTCTTATAAAATCCTAATATAGTCAATGCTAAAATTCTGTTTGTATGAATATAATATTTATTAAATAATAAATTTCAGATCCAAATTAGGCATGTTTAGATATGATCCCTTACAACCAGAACATGCAAAATTTTTAGCACCTATAGAACAAACCAATCAGGAATCTACAAAAAAAACTAAAAAGAAAAAATCTAAAGAAAACCAAGAGGAACAAAATATGGACACAGTGACAGTAGAAAACGATAAACTAAAAATTGAAGTATCTAAAGAGCAATTCTATAAAGTCAGTGAAACTCTAAAAGAAAGTTTAGATCAACCAATTAACTTCAGCCTTAGAAGTTTATTTGGTAACAAAGAGGAGAGTGAAAGAGGTATTTATTTTTATTTATTGACAATTTAATTTGAATTCACAAAGGTTCATTATCCTTCTCCACTGATCAGCGAACATATCCAATTCAAGAAAAGCTATCAAGAGTATAATGCTAACAATAAAATCAATTGTAATAAATAGTTTCCTAAGAAAACAGTTTAATGTTTAATGTTTTTCATATAAATTTTCAGTTGAGCAGGAGACTAGTTACATATCTATTGAAAAACCAAAAGAACCCAGAATCAAGAATCCTTTGAATCCTTCTGATAAAAACCCATTTATCTATGATTCATCTGATTCCGAAATGGAAGATGAAGTGCATGAAGTGAAAAAAGAAGAAATTTCAACAGAAGCCACTAGTGCAGCACCAGAAACTAAAATACTGTGGAAAGAAAATTTATTTTTTTCAGCTTCTGACAGCAGATTACTTGGTAAAATGATTTGCTAATTTAAATTATTTCTACTATGTAAATAGTAGTTACTATATTTCCGTGTCACAAATGCTTGATAATAATGGAATATCTCATTGAGCAGATTTGGAGGCGCGCTATGTGCATATGATGGTCAATTTTAGACAGCACTTGCCTACTATTGCATGTTTACTACTCACAATTTTTGTTGTGACATTCAGTGGTGCATATCATAAGAAAAATCAATGCGATTGTTCCATTAATGAACTAGACGAGTGTCATAACGCCCCAACTGCTGGAGCACAGGTCATACAGATAGAATCAAAATAGAATGGGCCATTGTGACCCTCTATGTGGGCCATGTACATATTGGTGGGCTTTAATGATGGTAGATGCAGCTAGGATCCTTGCCTTCCAAAGCACAGAGAAACTCCTAAATAATAAGTTTTAGCCACCCATCCTATGATGCTGAACGCTTTAATACTGCGACATTGAGCAGTTTGCCAATTTAATGTTTGCATATATTCAATTTCCTCAATATTAACTTCTGATATTATTTGACAGATGGTTTGGCATTTTTTAATAATACTGATGAATGTGTACCACATAAAGAAAGGAGGGAATTAAAAGCAGTTATGAAGAAGAGAATCTACAATAAAGACAGGAAATCTCAGATGTTCCAGAAGAAAATTGGTGGTAGAAAAAAGTCTATGAAGAAGACATACAAAAAAAAAAGTAATATGAAAAATTAATGTTTGAAATACAATAAAAAAACAGATTCAAGTAATTTTATTTTATTTTTCTAAATGATAAATTCACTGTATCAACTATCGTTTCTTCCAAGTGGGTTTCTTACGGGCTCCTGGTTGGCCAGGCTTCTTACGCTCACGACGACGATGGTCTCTTGTAAGCAGCCCTGCAACTTGCATTTTCTCCAACATGTCTTTCTCAACAAAACTACGTAGGCTCCAAGCTATACCCCACCGTATAGCACCAGCTTGACCTGAAGGACCACCACCTTCTATGTGGCACTCTACATCAACACTGTTTTGCATCCCAGAAAATATTAGAGGAAACATGACCTGTTCTCTTGGCTGTATATCTTCAAAATAAGTAATATCTTTACCATTAATTGAGATCTTTCCTGAACCAGGATATCTTATGGTGACTTCCCCTCTAGCCTTCTTCCTTAAACATTCATAAGTTGTAATAAAGGCACGGCCTTCTTCATCATAACTAGGTTTAGGGATCTCTAAAGCAAACCTTTGCATAGCCAAGGGCTTTCTATATTTCTCAATAAAATCTTTGCACAAGTATGCATAAGGTGAAGAAACCAATCTTTCCATGACAACTTTGAAGTTTTCATATTCAATTTCTTTAATGCTTTCTACCAAGGATTGTTCCAATTGTTCTTTTGTTAACCACACACTACCCTCTAGCTTAAGAGATCCATTAGGATCAGGAGTAGCTTTTTTTCTTATAACCTTATCTTCGAACTTATTTAATGCTTGAATATGTTCTGCTGCATCATAAAGAACTTTAAAAAAGCTTGGTTTGCCTGTGTAGAATAAGAAATGATGTGGTCTACCCGCCTCGTCAAATTCGGCGGCCTTTCGTGCCGGAAATACTTCTTCTGGTGGCTTCATAAGTGGACGCGCTGCAGGATCATATATCCCACTAGGAAACAAATATTCAATTGCTCTATCGACATCCTTTTGGGTGAAAGTTTCCGGATCTTCTCCCATCATATTAGCAAGGTGTCTCTTTCCTATATTGAATTCCAAATGCTGCCTTTTCATAAATTCATCATGTTCTTTAGCTCTTTCCAAGTAAGCTTTCATAGCTTTACTGGTTTTCCTATTTTTACTTAAAGTTTCCCAGTCAGTAAGGTGATCCAAAACATTGCTGGAAGTTTTACTTGGCCCAGTACTATATTTATGAATACTTGATGGAAAATTACTGCGGATAGAACATATTGTTGCTGGCAGTAAATTTTTCACAGTAAAACTCATTACAAGAGACATTCTAGATAATCGCTTTAAATATGTTTATCGGTGCTCATATCTTATTATTTAATTTCTTCAAAAATTATTAAAATCGCAGATTATTTATATTCTAACCTCTAACAGATATACACCACAGACCAATACATATTTATGTAGCAAGATATACAAAGACTACACATTAAGCATTATTATTTTTTTTTTAATATGGTTCTACTGGTCTTGGCCTTCAGCTTTAAGGTTAGTTATTATTACACAGATCAAGAAGAAGATAGTACATATAGTGTAGGTATTATACGTTCTTCCTTGGACAAACTAGTGATGCGACTCAAACCCTATTTTTACTCGAGTCACACGAGTGAAAAAACAATCACATGAGTTATCGAGTCAACTCGGCGATTTGATTTTCATATCACTAGATATCACTTTGTTTCTGTAATTTATTTGTCATCAGCCTGTTGCACAATCGTCCATTAAATATTTCATTAGTGAAAAGCGATATTACCCATACAAATTTGACATTCATTAGAGCCTAAAGGTGTCATTAAACCTTAACACTAGAAGGGCCATGGCCGTCAATTTGACGGCAAAATAATTTTGATGGCTAATAACTTTTTGTCTGTATTTCAGTTTGTATTCATATTTAATGACTTTTCATAACTTATGATTGTATAAGTTTTAACTTAATAAAAATAAATAAATAATGATTGATATGCGGGGTATGCTTACTCATACCTAATAAGACCGGACGCCGTCAATTTGACGGCACTTGAATACTTTGAAGTGTTATAAACAAAAGTTTTGTTTCTACCTTCTTATCTTACCTATATATTTATATGTTGTGTTTATTGACATGACTTACAGTTTCAACTGATTATTTGAAGAGAATTGTCGTGTGTTTATTTTATAATGAGTTCCAATCGGCGTTCCAAACAGCTCTCGAGTTTAGAAATAGAACGAGAGTTATCGCAACTTTGTAATATTGTAGAAGATGACTCAGGTGATGAAAGTGGCAATGAATTATCAGTAACGCATTGTGATAACGAAGATGAAGACTTTCAGCTAGACCAAGAAAGTTCTACATCTGAGGATTCAGAAGCCGACATTCCAACTGAAAGTCATTTCGACAGTGAAACGCAGGACAGTAATTTACACAGCGAACGTGGTATACGTAGAAGTCGTGGCAGAAGACCTGGATCCAGCGGAAGAGCAGTGCATTCGGGAAGTATAACACGTGGTGGGAGGCAAGTCAGAACGTCATCATTACCCGAAATAGGTATGAGACAAGTGGCTAGTGATGGCACTGAATGGACGTGTATTCCTAGTTTTAGTGGTGGAACGACGGGCCGTCGAAGTCGGCAAAATGTACTGAGAGAAAACCCAGGTCCCACTCCATATGCAAAGCGGTATGTAGAATCCAAAAAAGTTATTACTTCTTGGCGTCTTTTTATTCAAGAATTTATATTACGACGCATAAAGTTGTGCACTGAAACTGAAGCACGTATCAAATGTCAAGATGAATCGTGGGAAATTTCTTTAGATGAATTAGATGCTTTCATTGGACTGATTTATGCACGTGGAGCTTACAACATGAGCCATTTAGACCTAGACATTTTATGGTCCTTAGAATGGGGTCCGCCAGTTTTCAAAAATACTATGAGTAAAAATAGATTCAAAGAAATAATAAAATATTTACGATTTGATTTGAGAAGCACGCGTAATACACGTTTATCTACTGACAAATTTGCAATGATTTCTGATATATGGAATAATTTTATAGAAAATTGCCAAATGTGTTATATTCCTGGTGAAAATATGACTGTTGATGAGCAGTTATTTCCATCGAAAACACGTTGCCCTTTTTTACAATATATTGCGAACAAGCCTGATAAATTTGGAATAAAGTTTTGGTTATTAGTGGATGTTGAGAGCAAATATCTGTGTGGGGGTTTTCCTTATTTAGGAAAAGATAGTGAGCGCCTAAGTAATATGTCGTTACCAGAACATGTTGTTATGAAATTGTTACAACCTTACCTCAAAAAAGGTCGGAACGTTACAACGGATAATTTTTTCACATCTCTAAAATTGGCAGAAAAGCTTAGATCTGAAAGTACAAGTATTGTTGGAACAATGAGACGGGCAAGACGAGAAGTACCAGCGAATTGTAGAAACATTCGTACAAAGAGATATGAAACCTTTATACTGAAATCGGCAACAAACACAACCCTAACAATTTATCAAGGTAAACCTGGGAAAAATGTCATTGTATTGAGTACATTACACGAAAATATTCATATTGATGCTGAGTCAAAAAAAAAACTACCGGAGACTATACAATTTTATAACGAAACTAAGGTAGGCGTGGATATAATTGACCAAATGGCACGAAAATACACTGTAAGAGCTGGAACACGAAGATGGCCAGTCCACGTCTTCTATAATATTCTAGATTTGGCCGCCATAAATTCATGGATTATTTATCGCCAAGTTACAGGTGAAAACATTTCTCGTCATAATTATATTCTACAACTTGTAAGTGAACTTCGCGCAGAGTACGTGAATAAAAAACAAAGTGCATCAGCTTTTCAACGTTTGGATAACATAACTATTGAAGAAGAACAGCCTTCTACATCACAAAAAAGACGACAATGTCAAATTAATTCAAAATGTAAAAAGAACCGCACTTGTGACTTATGTACTATTTGCCAGAAAGCTGTTTGTGGTCAATGTGTAAAAAAAGTATTTAAAAAAATTATTTGTAATAAATGTTTTATGTAACTAATCAAAGTATTTAATTAAAAGCATTAATTAAAATTCGTAATTTTGTTTTTATGACACACATAGGTACATATTTCAATCATATTTTCTCCGTAATTATCATATACCGTCAATTTGACGGTCGCGGTCTTTGAAGGTATGCAATTTCCCCGACCCTTCTAGTGTTAATGGAAGTTTTGCAACTGACCGTATGCCGCTTATTTTTTATTTTCTTAATTACATAAATGAATAATAAGTCAAAACTCTTTCAATATGTATTTTATTCATATTATTTAGGTATTTATCTAATATTACTAAGAAAGATCTCATTGAAGTTCTAAGTGTGCAATTTTTTTACACGAGCGACTCGAAAATAGATGGATGACTCAAGTGAGGTGGTTAAATTAAGATGCAATAAACATCGATTATGATTTCCTTATCAATGATTAACCATCGATTATTTCTTAAAAAGTTAGCAATAGGAATAGTTTAAAATGTTTGTACAGTACCTACTTACTTTACTTCGATGGCTCAGCAACCCATAGCGGATCGCGAGTGTGAATATTATTAGTAGATATTCTATTACTTATTATGGCAACCCTGAAATACTGACACAAACAAATAGGTAACTTTACTCTTCGGTCGGGGAACTCCCGATGAATGAATGAACGGATCTTACCTAGTTTTATTTTAACAAATACAAATTAACCGTTTCTTACTAAATGCACATGTAAGTATACACGGTACATTCCTATACCAAAATAATATTTTTTACATTTTTTTGTCTGTCTGTTTGTTCCGGCTAAACTCTAAAACGGTTAGACCAATTTTGAAGGGATTTTCACTGGCAAATAGCTTATCTAATAAGTAATTACTACGGCTACTTTCCACGCCAACGAAATCGCGGGTACAGCTAGTTTAATTCTATAAATTTTGCATGCACAATGCTGGTATAGTAAACATTGTCTTAAAATTGATTTTTAACTATTTTTCATTACCTTGAATGGCTTTAAAATACGGTGGAATTTATCTGAAATTATTAATAAATTTATGGGGTAAAAATATTTAATAATCATTGACATGAATCGATTACGAGTAATTGATTCTTCTATAATCAATTAATCGATGTGTATAATAATGGAATCGGCACATCGTTAGTTTAAATACACCGGATTGCATAAAGTTTATATTTATAAGGGAGATTTAGAAAAATTACAGCCGTTTTGTTTTAATGCTTATTTTATTCATACCTATTTGTACTGAAGAATATGGATCAAGGTGGTCAGGTTGATGTGATCTATACTTATTTTGAGACGGCGTTTGACCGCGTGGATAACATCATACTGCTTACCAAGTTACAGGACTTGGGCATCAAGGGAGATTTTTTAAGATGGATTGAATCATATCTGACCAATCTGTCTCAAGCAGTCGTTATGGGTGGATATCGATCTGATTTTATTATGATACCTAGTAGCGTTCCTCAAGGCTCACATTTGGGCCCATTGCTCATTGCTCTACAATATATATGACATTTCAAACTACATAAAATACTCTAGAAATTTGTTATATGCCGATGATAAGAAAATATTCTGTTCTATAAAAAAACCCAGCGATTGTGAGAAAATCCAAATGGACCTAAATAATTTGTTTTATTACTATAACCAAAATAATACAAAAATAAAGATCAAAAATGCCACTGTGCGTGTTTTATGCGTAAATTGAACCCTATAGCTTATATTTATAATTTTGATAGCGTCTCTATTCAGAATTCTACAGTAATTCGAGATTTAGGTGTAAATTTAGATAAGTAAATTTTGTTTTGTATGCAAAATCGTAAGTATTTTAATAGAAATACATAATTACAAATCTAAAAAATATAAAGAAATCCTTGAAATCTACTAGATTCCGCCACTTTTCTCAAATCGTATCCGTAATTTGCCAGAGTTAGGTTTTAAATCTGCCACAAACGGTCATGCTGATAATGTTTTTTTTTTTGGGCCTGGGTATTGGCCTTGTCAGATATAAAAAGTAATAATGATTATGATATAAAAGTATCAAATGTTTATACTACAATAGTATTGGACCGAATAGTTGGATCTATGAGTTGGACCTTGGACCGAATGACATTATGACAAGTTTATTTTTTCTGAAGGTTGGTTGTTTTGGAAAGAATAGACAAAAGAGATTAGTCCGTTACGGATACGTCAAAAACTTGAAGCAAAGCAACTTGATCAAAGATTAAGGGATCGCGGTTGTTTGTTTGCGTTCGATTTAATGCAAAAGCCAGGAAGAAATTGATTTATAAATTAAATGAACATTATGTCGTGATAATCACGAATGAAATGTGAACTTCAATTTCATTTGAAACTTTTGTGTTATTATTGATGGTGTACATACGCGTCTAAAAGACATTGTTTTGTGAGGTGTAAAGTGATTATTATACATTTTAAAAGTTAATTTTGCCAATGTAACAAGTCACTGCTAGTTAGTAAATATTTAAATTTATGTCCTAACTATCTAATGCTGTCTTCGTTTTATCCTTAATCAAAACATCAACAATACATCAAATCTGATCCAGGTTCTGAAATTCTAAGACATCTACAAACTACGCGCATATTCTAAACGTTACTAAACTGAATATATTTGAAATGAACAATATTTATATGAAGCTAGAAAATTTTCACTTATGAACATGTATTGATTTTAGGCAATTAGATTAATGACCCACGATATTTAGGACTTACCCTTTGGTACCTACTTACTTTCAAAACTCCTTAACCTAACCTACTATTCTGGTAGCGTTTAGTTTTCGGTTGGGGTCACAGATAAGTTACATTAATCAATTTACAGAAGCCTGTTTGTGATTTTTTGTTTTGTTATAAAAGATTTAAATTATATATCACAACATTACAAAACTCAACAAGGTATCTATAATTCTCATTATGTAAGGTATCTATTAAGGAAATGAAAATCAGCAGTCCAAGCACAGGCATACTAGCTTAAGCTTTTTTCTCCTGAAATAATATATTGTATGTGAAAGTAAAGCACAATATATCTTTTTATGACAGAATTAAAAATATTTGTGTTATAATGGATTTGTTACACTTGCCATAATTTTATGCTCAACAAAGTATAACATAGTCTGCTTGGAGTAAAAAAAAAATTAAACAGTACATTAGAGTAATAGGTACCTTTTAGATTATGAGATTAAATCACTATATGTACTTATTTTTGTTCCAGGTTATGTAGAGAAACAAGGAAAAAGGATATTATTTATAGATGCTTTTTATATTAGTTTTTATTTTGGACTGCTTAACATAATACCAATTCATTATGTCAGACAGTGATGATGATCTATTGCCTTCAAATGTTTACACCTATCAAAATGAAAGCACAGTATGTAGTTTTTGCATATTGAATATTTTTATTAGCATTTTTTATTTTCACAATGTTATTAGTTAACATACATTATAATTTACAGGCTGTATGTGCAAAAGGTCCGAATGTAAACACAACAAATATAACAGGATTAAGTTTTCGGAATAATGTTTTGCCTATGACTATGAATATGCCATGGAACTTTGAAAGACAAAGATATTCAGAGTTGAACTTTGATCAGCGCAGTATGTCGTACAGAAGAGAGACTTCTCCTATGTCCATGTATTCTGATATGAGAACAAGAAATTTTCAACAGTCGGTTTATCGTGGCATGAGCTCACAAAGATCTATGTACAATGGCCGAAGTGGTTCACCTATGTCAATGAGGAGCATGGGTATATAACATAGTAATATTTTCTGTGTAGCAATGAAACATTGCTCTAAATTATAAATTGTACATTAATACATTTTACATATAAGTAATTAATGTGATTATTATGTATATTTCAGATTCAAATTCTAGTGAGATAGCTGCTTTTATAGCAATGTCATTAAAAAATGACAAGTTTAACAGGCATGAACTAAATATGATAAAAGATGCTTATAATAAATTCATAAAGGGAAGAATAAGAAAAAGATATGAAAAACGTCGTAATATGAGATTGTTTTTAAAAGGTTACCGAAGGAAATCAGGTTATAATTCTGGCGAGCAAGGCAGTGAATCATCTATCAGTAGTGATGACTGCAGATCAACAAGTTCTGCTATGTATAAAGGTAATATGTCTAGTTGTAGATCAACAAGGACAAATATAGCCGATTTCAGGCACAATATCACAGAAAGTAACATGTACAAAAATTGTTCAAATAACTTTCAAAGAAAAGTATTTAAAAATAACTTTGCAGTACCTCCCACTAATAAGCATCATAATTTCAATTATCAAAAATTGCCACAAAACCAACTAAATATGAATCAAAAGGAAAGATTTCAGAATAGTTTTCTTTTGCCTTCCCAAAGATTCAATAAATCAGTTGCATCTGTTCCTATACCAGAAAGTAACCAGAATCAAGTAAATCCAGCTTACAGGGATCCCAGAGGCATTAAAAATAATTCTATTCAAAATAAGAACAATAATAATTGTGAAACAGACAGTGATCAAGAAGAAATATTTTCTGAAGTGACTGTAAGAGAAAAAAGTTTTCATAATCCTTTACAACCATCTTGTAAAGTCAGTGAAAATAAAAGAAGTCTTGCTCTTGAAGATAATGTAGGTTCTGATAAAAAAAGAACTAAAATCTCATCACCTGCAAAGGAAAATGAAGCGAAAGGTAAAAACAAAAGTAAAGCTACAGTCAAATCTGTTTTGAAGGAAGATAATAGCAAGGAAATTTGTAAGACTAGACAAAATAATGATTTTGAATTTATAAAGCCCCAATTTCCTGCAAAAAAATCTGGCGCAGGCAAATTCAAAGAAAAATTAATATCCAAATCTGCACTACCGTTGACAGATGCAATTATGCCTCCTCAAAATACACTTTCAAAAGACACCAATAAAACTCCCGATCAAAGTGAACCAATAATATTGTCATCTGAAATAAATCAAAACACAGACAAAAATATAGATGATCAATCTGATACAGGACCACATTCTAATAGTGACTTGTCAATGAGACCAAGTTTTATTAAAAGAAAACTATTCTCCCAAAAGTTAGATGTTACTGAGAAAAAAACCCTAAGTGCTGAAGTTTTAAATGTAAACAGTCCACAAAATAATGTATACAGTACTATACAAAGAGAGAAGAATAAAGCTAGAAAAGTGGTTACAAACCAGTCATGTTTGAATAGAGATGTTCAAGATGATAACAATTTATTGGACTTAATTCATAAAATCGTACCACCTGATCAGATGAATGTAACAAATATGACAAACAAAACAAGTTTGAATAGTAAACCATCACAAGAATTTGATAAAAATGACGAAGATGACAAATGGGATGTAACATCTATTATTTCGACATGTAATAAAGACGATATTAGTGAAACCTTTACTGATGAAGAAATATTTAATGATAATAAAAAGAAAAATGATAAAAGCAAAAGTGAACCCAAAAAGAACATGAAATTAACAAAAGAATGCAAACTTGTTATAGAGAGATCACTGGAAATTGATAGGTTCACAAAACCACATCTTCCTGTCACTAAGTCACTTCAATCAAAGAATGTTATTGGTATATTAATTTATTAAATTTTATATTATTTGATCCTTTTTATGTTTTCGTATTTTACCTTATTGTACCTTTTGCAGATAACCAGAAAAGCGGAAAATCCTTTTGGGATACAGATTTTGAAAGCGATTTAGAAAACTCTGCACCAAAACGTTCAAGAGAACTGAAGGAGAATCACATAAAAGGTAATTTTTCACATAAGAAAAACCAATACTTGTATATCCTTAAGATTTTATTTTCATAAATATATAATATATAAAGTTGCCAAAAAGTAACAAGTGCTTGAAAAGGTTCTTAGGTAGCTCAGCGGTTAGAGCAATCGCCCGGTTTGCGAAAGGTCATGGGTTCAAGTCCCATCTCAGAGTGTCAGGGACTGTAGATCATTTGGATTTTTTAACCATTTTTAAGAAATTTATTTCTTTCCAGTTAGTCCATTGCAGAGTATCAAAAACATTCCAGAGAAAATTAATACTAATCTAACTATCATGCATAATGCAACGTCATTATCAGAAAGTTTAAAATGTAAAACAAACAATTCAATATTAGACAATAACATGGGAAACATAAAAAAATATAATATTAACAGAAATCTAACAATCAAATCATTTAGAGCACCTAAACATGTAAATGGTAATAAAAAACTTAACAATAGTGTTGATGTTACATTACCTTCTGTTGATGATAAACAAAATAATAAAAATAAATATCAAAACATAATGAAACTACCAGACGTAGTTAACAATAAGAAAGCCGAAATGAAAAAAACAATTGTGAATTCTGAAATAGAAGAGCCCATTACCAATTCAAAACAGAAAACTACTTCTAAGACAAAACTCAAGGACTCAACAAATAACAAAAAAACAGAGAAACAAATCAAAATCATAAATAAACCTAAAAACCAAAATAACTCAAAAGCTAATGTCCACAACAAAGAAGCAACTAGGACTGTCCGTACTCCCAAGAAGAAATTGGGTGGCTATGAACTGGAAAAATCAGACGAAAAGTCAAAATCAACAGAAAAACTCAAAGAAATAAAAAATTCAAAACTGAATAATAGTATATCTAATACAAAATTATCAAAAAGAGATATTAGTGTAATTGCTAAAGGACATGCTAAGCAGTCAGCTAAGAATAAAAAAGAAAATGTTGAGCCTGCAACAGATTGCATGAATGAGCTAGCATATAGGACGTTGAGGACGAGAAAAATAGACTTATCTTCGTCAATTGATACATCTGATGATAATATGAAAAACATAACCATCAGAAGTTTAAGGCTAAGAAAAATCAACTTGTCGTCGAGTATAAACAATTCTAGTATAGATGGAAAGCTCACTGTTATGACAAAAAACCCGAACTCTAAGAATAAAAACGAAAAGAAAACTGTTTCTCAGTCTAATAGAAATGAGACCAAGCGGATGGCAAAGAACAACTGTGTAAAAGGTTAATGAAAATATATAGTTTAGGTGATTTAAGCTTTCAAATATATTAATTTCACTTTCGTGCGTGAACAATGCCACGGAACAAAATTAGCCACTCTTCGCGATTTAGTTCAGTGTGCCATAAATGTTGAAAATGCGATAGAGCTGCAGAAATAGACAAAACTTAAATGCTATGGTGTGCGTGTGATGCACATGTGTGCGATATTCCTAAGTAAAGAATAATCTACAGGCCCTGCAGAGCGATTCTATGAAGATCTGAACCCGAATTCTAGGTTTTAGTGTAGTCTTTTAGTGTAGGTATTCTATTGATTTATTTTTTATAAAAATACAAAACAAGATTGATTGATTTATACATGTCTCACATATTCTTTTAATTTTCAAACTCATTTCAAATATGCCACGAAACGTTATTATCGATTGATGTTTGAGCGGATGCCGCTTTTAAAGTGAATTCAGACACCAAGTGAATTCTAATTTGTGTTCCGATTTTTACAGAATCGCAGGGCTGATTAGAATAACAGTTCCAAATATATCTATTTTTGTAAATTTCTATGCTGTTTTTAATATTCTATGTATGTGTTTTTTACAATCATGAACTGTCATCCATGAATAATACAAAATATTTTACCAAATATTTTAAAATAGATAATATTTAATTATGCAAAGAATATTATTGCGTTTTATTTGATATATCGACATGAAACTGCTAAAACAAATACTCTGCCCGAAACTAAACCGGAAAAGCAGGAGTTTTGTGTACAATCAACACTACAACAATCAGCACGTCAAGTTATACAAACTTAAATTTCTCCACTTAATTTTAAACCTTAATGTTAACGGTACAGTTTAAATCAATTGTAGAAATTTAACATTTGTTATCTGTCGTGCAGTATGTCAACTCATTAAAATAGACGTTCAATTGGGCTTCTAGCCATTTCATTAAATGGCGCCATTGTATTGTCTTTCAATCAGCCGAGTAGTTGTCCTACAATACGGCTGACCAAAGGTCAGTCAACTAATTAACTGTCAATTCATCGGGAATATCTAAATTTATTGTTGGGATTAGAAGTAAAACAAAATAAATATTGTAATGAGGATTTTAATTAAACTAGAAAATTGTAACGAGCTGTAAGGGCGCTTGTGCACTACACTGAATTTTCATGTCCGGCGGTCCGATTTTTTCAGGTCCGATATGTCAGGACATATGTAGGTAATGCGCGCTTGTGCACTGTCAGGAATTTTACCGTCCGGAATTTTACTTTTCTCTATTCCGGATCGGTTTTTTCAGGTCCGTGAAGGCGGCAATGAAAAACGTGTTTACGCTTGTGCACTGCTGTGTCCGAGATCCGGAAAATTCATAAGGAATAGGCTTGGGAAAAAATAATCGATTTGAATCGATATTTTCTTCGGCAATATTGTTAATTTCCAATAAACTTATAATCGATATTTATTGTTGATTATAAAATGCTATATTTTATATGATGATTTAATATAGTTGGTATATATTTGATCAGCGTATGGTTCTAGTATCGATACTTAGCTAGATTTTAGAATCGTATTAAAAGTATCGATAGCTTAAGGTTGTTACGCTTAGACGCCTAAACAACTGAACACATCTAAATGGAAATTTATATAGTATATAGACTTAACTTTAAGAATGGACATAGGCTACATTTTATCGCGAAAAATAGGGGATGAAAGTTTGCCTGGAAATTTGTCATTATCAAATTTTTTTTAGACAATTTATAAGTATAGATAAATATTTGACAACAGAAGTAATAATAAAGAATAAACAGAAGATTAACAAAAGTAATTAAGTGACACTCAATGTCTTTTTCGAATTTTATTAAATTTTAAATGTATGTTTGTGTCATTAATAAATTTTAAAAAAAGAAGTATTCTAAGGGAATAAAATTTCTGCTCATAGAAACTACACCACGCGTATAAAATTATGCCTATATATAATACAGTCAACTGATCTCGTAAAGTTCATTTAGCATAATAATTCTCCGCTAACACGGCACTAATTTCGATTTGTTTACGAAATGGCGCCACCGATTGGTTTATCGCTGAAAGTTGTTTTTACAAAACTTCGAAAAAAATAGCACGTTTAAAAATTTAACATCAAGTACTAGACCATTATCAGTAATTTTATTTTGTCACAGATATTTTTAGCAATTGTAAGTGAATAATGCTGTTCCTAAATTAGTTTTTAACAGGCCCTAAGGGCGCTTGTGCACTACACTGAATTTTCAGGTCCGGCGGTCCGATTTTTTCCAGTCCGGAATTACATGAAAAACCCGGATGAGTAGCTTGTGCACTTGTCCGTTTTTTCCGGATCGTAGCGGCGCCGTTTAGGGCATCTCTCTTTGAAGCTACACGCCACTTACGTTTTGAAAATTAATTTACTTTTTTTTGTACATGGTAGAAAACCGAAATGACACGGACTTCAAGAAAGTACCGTAGCAACATCTAGTTTTATTTCGGAACTAGGTTTTTTAAAATACTTCATTATTCCAAATTTTTTTTGCTACGTCTTTGGCAAAAACAACTGTATTTCTGTCTTAAACAGAATCAAAAATATGAACATGTTCAAACATAGCACGTGCCTTTCGTACTCGGAAGTTACAAAATGAAAAAGCTAGTAACTTATTTTGTCAGATGTATACTTGTTTGGCTTTTGGTTTTGGACAGCCGAACGACCATTAGGCTTCAAAAAATATATACGGTTTACATACCTACTTAATAGAAAGTATCGTTTCTACGCCTGATACCTTCATATCATAGCACATTCTATATTATGCGGTTTTGCGTTGTTGATCGAAGGGTTTTGCATTGCATGCAAATATTAAAAGAAAAACAAAAAATAATAAAGTTATTATTTTATTTGATAAGACATTCACAATCTCAAAATCGAGGCTTACATCAGCTGTTAAGGCAATTTATGAATGCTAAAGTAAATAAATTAATTATCTATCTCAGATAGAAATGAAACGGGAAAATACGAATACGAAACGGGACACGGAGACTTAAATTCCGTTAAAATTACAATTGCTTACTATGTAAATATACTCGCAACAACTAACAAAAGTTTCACTTCAATAATTTCCATATTTGAATACAGTAAAACATTTTCCTTTTTTGTCGTGAATTAAAATAACACTTACTACTTTTTGAAACAGAGTAGAAAACACTATTAATTATATTACTTGTTACTTTAGGTATTTACAGAATTAAAAATATAGTTTGATAGGAATAAAATTAATCTAGTTTCTTTCGATAGAATTGCCACCATTGTGTAAAAGAAAGACAAATACACGTCGTACATTATGCGGTAGTGAGACAAAGCGTGTAGAAACAGCGCGGCCGTCACGAGACTGACTCGCTCATGCTAATGTTGAATCTCATCGCTTCATCTCCCTTCCTCGATTGATATAAAAAAAACGCATTCACAAGAGTCCTACTGATGATTAAAATGTTGTCTTGGTTTGATTTCAATGTACCGTATTTTCCTTTTCACTTTTATCCAAGTGATCTATTTAAATCTTAACCAGCGAATAACATCTTTCGGCCAACAAGTCGTTATTTGCTCCGCTGTTATCTGTTTCACTAAATAAAATATTAAAATTAATCTGTTTTATTAGTCACATATCTCCTAAAGTTAGTTACAATAGTGCAAACATTGTCAAGTCTTGTATTTGTTTAACCTAAATCGTGGTCATGTTAATATCACAACTACATGGAACCATTCACCGAGTACCAAGGTTCAACAATATCCGAATAGTTAAATACATAATTTTAAATACAAACACACCGACATAATAGTTTCAGATCTAGCTTTCATATCTCGAGCCTGACAATATTGAATTAATAATAGTAATAATATTGGCCAATTTTGACATTTTCAACAGAATTAAACAAGTAACAGTAAACCTCTCCCAATATTTTAACAAACTATTAAATGCATGTTTATACAGGCGACAGCGGCCTATTAATGTATAATATAGATGATCAAGACGACATCAAGAAGCACTCCATTAGCATCGAATTGCACAATTAACCGCCGTATTTATCTTTATCATTTTAATCAAAGGTTGATTAAAAAACCATAGATACAACAATGACGCGTCAAGTACAAGATCGCAGTGTTTAAAAGCATCATATGGCTAGTTTACACATATTAATTAGTAAAATTTTAAGTTTAAGTGATTTTATGTAATTTTCATTATGGAGTTATTTGTTGTCAGAAAATATCTACTTCCATGATTATTATAATTATCAGGCGGCGTTGTATCTAGGGTTTTTCAAGCAAAGTTCAACACAATGACGTCATGATTCCACAGAAGGAACATTCAGAATTTAGAAGTATTTCAGTCAAGAAATCACGCTCCAGATAATAATTGGAATGTACTTAGATATGACACAGCCATATGCAAGAATACTAGACGGTAATTACATAGAGATGACACCAATTCACATTAGTGTGTATATACAATTTTACATAACAAAACATAGGTTGATCATATCTAATATATTTGTAGTAGTAACAATAGTTTTATTGTAAAAACTCCTTGGTAGAACTGCCATCCCACAAGGGCTACTTTCAAATTTGATAAGTATTGTATAATTATAATGACGACTTATTGGCTGTGAAATACCAAGCACTCTTACTGTTTGATGATTGTTAAGCAATATAATTTCTAGTTGATAATATACAAGAATACTATAAATACGCGTAGATGTAGCACGCTCAGTATTCGTCTTCCTCGGGCGGATGAGGATTGTCACCGTCTATCTCTTCTGGAGGCGCGAATCCGTCCTGAAAAGATTGATTAGTATATAGAAGATTGGTAATCTACTCACATATGAGAGCTAGAATAGGGTACTTGACAGTCATAGCAATATATTATGAAATATTTTTAAAATTGTAACTTATATGTAAACAATAAGTATGAAGTATTTATTTGTTTTAAATTAAATTGTAAGTATTATATTTGATTAATTTCGCATTCACAATGCTATATTAAAAAATATTCTTTATGAAAAATTAAGAGTACTAGGGACAAATGGATTAAAAAAAAAAAGATGTAAGTGTTTAATGTTTGCAAAATTGACTTGCTTGATTTCTAATAGTACCTAATTGCAATACACAATTGAAATGTGATGGCACTTTTAAAAATATCACGTGACTGATTGTTTTCGCGAGAGAATTTGATTAAATAAATAAAAATGTTCTCCTTTATTTAAAAATATATTGGATGAAGAAAAATAAATATGATAGTGGTTTTTAAGATAAGTTTAAAATACTTTCCTTATACAGTCAAGTACTCCATATTTATGGGCAGCAGTAACAATGGATATCAATTATGGGCAGCTCAATTTTGGTAAAATTTTGTCATATAGTACATTTGGGCCCCCCTAATATTTATTCATATAACAAAAACAAATTGTGTTTGTTATAATTGGTACCAAATCCTCCGTTGCCGAAACGAACCCAAGGATGTTTTGTGTATTAATGAACAAAATTAAATTATGAGGAACATTTTCCTACCACTTATGATATATAAATTAAATAATATTTGTAGGATATTCACCTCAGTTGCATATAAAATATCAAGAATCTTCTGAACAATGGGAGCGTTCTGTTGTTCTTCCATCTCTTGACAGATCACCTCTATATCCCGGAGCTTGCCGAAATAGAAATCCCTTTCTTTTTCCAAGCCGTCGACTGTTGCCTTCAATTCATTTACCTAAAAAAATTACTTTACTTACATGGCAAATTTTGTTTTACCAATTGTAAAACTTATTAAAGGATCATTTGCTCTTGCCCATGTAATTTTATGGGAGGTTAATAAAACTGATAAAACTTCTCCTTTCAATTTTATAGAATAATAAAAATCTGACCATAAAAATATAATCAATACATACTTGATGGTTGAGATCATCAAGGATTTTTGAATCTCCTTTAGCACTTTGATTTAATCTCGATAAATTAACGGGCGGCGACCTCACTGCATTGTTTGCTTTGACAACTGTAAAATTAAAAGTTAATTAATAACAAAATATTTATTATTACGCATACAATTATAATTTATTATTAATGATATAGTTGATGACTCAAATAAAAAATAAATTAAAAAGTAAATAGCATGCTGAATCAATACAGAAGTCAATCAATGAAGTAGGGTGAAGTGCATGGGTGTAAGGGAAAACAGTTAATTGATATATATTCAGAAAATGTAGAGATTTGTCAATAACAATTTCATAAGTGCAAATTTCATGAGTATTTTTTTTTATTTATGCAGAGGGTAATCTTAAAATTTCACCATTTTAAAGGTAATTTTTTTTGGGCGGATGAAGGGTTATTACATAATTATACAGGTACCGTGTAGGAAATTGCATTTGAAACAAACTATAATATACCATGTTTTTATACAAAATAATGCAATGGTTCGAATTGGACAATAAAGTTATTTAAACCAATATTCATATTGCCATCTGATGTTTATAGTAAGCTTGATAAATTAAATAAATAAGCAACATTTAAAATTAAAAACAAAATAAGTACTGCTTTGGGGTCTGGCTGCTACTTTGGCAACTGGCGCTGCGACTTTCTTAGGGGCCGCTTGCCTCGGGGCTGAGGCACCTCCGTGACCCATGGGGAGGCCCTCACGCTGCGCCACCGCGTCATATTCCGTGCCTCCATAGTTGGCATCAAAGAATTTCTTGAACCATTGCAAAAACTCAAAGTTATCTTGGAAACGACCCTTCACCAATTTGTCAATGGGTACTATCTACAAAAGAAAAAAAGATGGAAAGTAAAATAAAAAGAAATGGCTATATCTACTTGTGCGGGCTACCAGTGTTTGAGGAATTCATACGCACCACTCCCAAAAATTCTAATGATAAAAGATTTTAAAATGTCAAGAATTTGTCAGTTGGACTAATATTGTTTATTTTTTGTGAGTGGTGAGTTTGGTGCAGTAATGTGGCCTGATGCATACTGCCGGAATGGTGGGTTGGGGCAGCTCGCCGTACTCTTGGGAGTGGCGCAGCAACAGTACCAGCACACAGAGGGACCCCTGACTCGCATGCCCCCGATCCAATCATAAAACCTCCACGAGCTTCAAAGGCATCATACTCGCGACCGTCATAGTTAGCATCAAAAAACTTTTTAAACCACTGTAAAAACTCAAAGTTATCTTGAAACCTCCCCTTTATTAGTTTATCCACAGGTATTACCTAGAACATTACAGTATTTTGAAACTATTCTAATATATAAACTGATGTGTAGCTAAACATATTCATGCACTAATCTGATCAAAATAAACATACATTCTTTCGCCCATTTGCACAGACCTCCATTAAGGTTTAATGACGCCTTTTAGCAATTAACTAATGACAATTTTAATGGATATATGTGCTACTAGCTGTTTCACACACCGAGAAAAATGTATGTAATGTAAATTTACATGGATTGTCTCCAACATGGTGAATATAACTATAGCATCATTCGTTTTAACACTAGAAAGACAGACAGGGGTCTTTTGACCCACTTTTTTTCAAAATTATACATATATTCATATGTTTTGTCCTCTTGCAACTTTTATTGAAATAAACTCAAATATCAGGACAGTAATGAGTTTATTATTACCTACAAAGGCGGCACTGGGTCTTGTGGCCCATGCATTATTTATTGTAACTAGCTTTCGCCAGCAGCTTCGCCCGTGTGGTTCTTAGGAAAATGTTTAGTGGGAGAAAAGTATCCAATAAGTCAGCTAATACCCTCTCTGTATACCAAATTTGATCAAAATGTGTTCAGTAGTTTCGGTGGGATTGACAGACAAACATCCAAACAAAGAAACTTTCACATTCATAATATTAGTAGAATGAAATATCTAATATGGGTCTAGATAGTAAAAAAAAAAAGATACATTTTTTTTTCGGTAGTGTTTCATATACCATTACCGATAATCACACTTTTATGCTTATTATATTGCTTAAACTAATTATAAAAAAACAAATATTTTATGTTCATTGTTACGGCATGGTAAACAATGCATAATGTCACACCCTTCTTATTCATATCTGAACTTAAAGAATTTATGCATACATAGAAAGACATTTGTTTCTGAGCACCATGACACAAGTGGCTTTTCGCAGGATATTTTGGAATTTTTCAAAAAAAAATAGTTGTCTACTCTATTCCTATTTCGGTCTATTCTATCCCTATTGCGGGTACATCTTAATATTCTTTTTATTTTTATACAAAATAATTAATCTTATGGAACTGAAAAATATTCTCATCAATTCTCTCAAATGAACTCAAGTATTGTGATGATCATGTTCCATTAGTTATGTTTTTGTCTACTTATGTAAATATCTATAGGCATTGATTTAAAAGAATTACTTGATCATTATATGGCTTCACATCAAAACATACACTGAAAGCTCACCAAGTGCTTGGCCATTCAAATTTGATGATTAGATGTAAGAACTTGAAAATTTAATCTCAAATTTATACCCTAAAGGTGTCTGTGCATGCTGAAACACTATGTAGACATTGCAATAAATCAAAGAACAATATTAGTCAAAATCATAACTAGCTATATGAGTCTGGGTCATTAAAAACTTTATTATTATACATCAAAATTAATTGTGAATAAATTTTCCACCTCCTTGCTATTTTTAAATGTCATCTTTTGTGTGTTGGGTCAAATGATCCCTTGCCGCCTTTCTAGGTAAGCCATTTTTCTCTTCTTTCTCGTGTTAAACAATACTATTGCACATTTTTATCTTGTTAATTATACACATATATATATTATATTATGTGTGTGAAGTATGTTTTTAAATAAATATCTATTTTTCTATCAACATATATAAAAATCTCACCTTATCAACACTCATTTTTTTGAATGCAGCTTGTAATATTTTGAAGTTTTGTATGTATTCATGTTCTAAATTTGTCTTAAATTTGATACGCTTCAATGGTACACTGCCTGGGAACAGCATGTCCATAAACTGGCAATATGCAGCTCCAGTACACAATTCTTCTATTTTTCCAAAGTTTGATTGGAGACAATCGTTCACCCACGCCAACATATCATGCCGCGATAGATTTTCCGAAGTTACATTAGTTGAATACACATTCACCGCCATTTCGATGGTCCAGTTATTGCTCCTAAAAAATAAAACGAGGCACTCATACACTGGAATGTTAAACCGGCTAATAGCAGCAATGCGGTTTACGGTCTCAAAAGAAAGCCAGTCTAAAAATAGGTCGTGCTGTATATTCTTACGGCGATTTTACTCTTCTTAATATCAACGTGAATAAACGTAGGCAATTTAACAATAATAGTAACAACCTGTTTTATTTGAAGTCCAGGTAGTTATCGTTTGCAAAAAATAACAGTAAAATCTCAAACGGCGGAAGTGGTTACGATACGACGATATCACTATGACAGATGGACGAGGCAGGCGACTCATCGTTGGTTTTTTTTAAGATGTCGGTATAAATTTTACTAACTGGTTAACGTTTATTTGTCTTACCTTTATTTTTATAACACTGGTGTTTTGGTCAGGTATAACTTTGCGCAAGTAATTTGGGCAAAGTAGTCAAAAATGTTGGTTTTTAGCGTAAACTTCTCACCTCTTCCTTTTTGCCTTTCAATTGGTCATCGACAATTAACGCATTTTTTTGCTGATGGCGGTGTCAAAGCCATAGTGATGTAACGATATTCAGAATAGAATAATGATTTGTCTGTGGTAATATGGTTCTTCTGCTTCAAAATGAGTATGAGGAAATATTTAAAAAAAACAAAAGCATTAAAAGAGCACTTCCACTAGATGGCGACTCAAGCAAAAGTTGATTTTTGCAGGAAACGAATGGACCAAAGACAGTCATTTCTGTTCCTTTTAACTAACATATTAATACAATTTAATTTGCAAAGTTCGAAACTTAGATATCAATATAAATACGAAAAAGTACAAATAGAATATTAGTTGTTTATTGAGTTTTGAAAACTAATTTATTTTAAACTTGAAAGAAAATCGGAAAGGTTTTCATGGAGAATCAAGAAGGTACGGTAGCAACATCTAGTTTGATTTCGGGAACTAATGTTTTTTAAAAATATTTTCTCATTATATGTTCCGAATCACTCAGTATTTACTCACCGCCATAGTAAATACTCAGTAAATTTCTACTACTTTCTACCCAGTATTTATGTATTACTATAAAAACTTCATCTGTTTAACCACGGTTTTTTTTATTTACTATTATCCATATCTCAACTCTTTTTAGGGTTCTGTATCCAAAGGCTAAAATGGGACTCTATTAATAACACTATGCTGTCCGGCCGTCCTCCAGTCACCAGGCTGTAATCCCATGAACTGTAATAGTTAGATAGTTGAAATATGATGTATATTATAAAATAATATGAAATATTAAGTAACAGAAATGCATCATCTGTGTCCTGAAAACACAGATGATGTATTTCTGTTGCCACTTTAACAATAAATACTAAAAAATAAAATAAATATTTAAGGGAGCTCCCATACCACAACCGGTTTTTTTTTTGCTGTCGCCTGGCTTATATCTCATGAACTGCGATAATTAGACAGTTGAAATTTTCATTTCATATATGATATAATTCTGTTGCCACCATTGTTATAGTAAAAAACGAAATAAATTATAAATCTAAGTGGGCTATCCCATACAACAAACGTGATTTCTTTGCGTTTGTTATGGATAATTTTACGGATTCTTTATTGCGTGTGTCCGACTCGCAATTTTTCAGTTTTTATATACCATATTGTGGCCGTGAAGGATTTTTTTTTCATCAAACCGTTAATTACTATAATCGAAATATGAAGTATCAAGCACGAAATAAATAATAGGTCTGGTACTTCTTCCACTATAACAGATCTTCTCGATACCGGTTCAGAAAAGTTATATTCTTTGTATTGAATAGTCCTAACCGCCCCACACTAAACCGTTTCATCATTACTAGTGTCGTTGTTATTTCGAGCTATTCTATACAAAGAAAATATTATTTCTTGGCTTATTTGTGTTCCGCTAGTGGTTATCGTATGTCGCAGCTAAGTAGTTTAATTCCAATGAGGAAGTATTTCAAGAGAAAGTAATTCCAAGGAAAAAACGCAATAACTAAAAAGCACCTCCACTAGATGGCGACTCTACCAAAAATTGATTTTTGCAGGAAATGAATGGACCAAACACAGTCAAATCCGTTCCTTTTAACTAACATACTAAAAAACTGATATTTGCAAAATTCGAAACTTAGATATCAATACAAATACGAAAAAGTACAGATAGATTGTTTATTGAGTTTTGAAAATTGAATGCCATAGAGAAATCAAGAACGTACCGTAGCGACATCTAGTTTGATTTCGGTAATTTTTTTTAAATACTTCCTCATTAATGGGCTGACCTTCGATGATCCGAGTACTTGAACGCGTCGTTCTACAATATGACTGAACAAAGGTCAGCCAATTTTTATTGATTAGATTAAAAGTAAAACAATTTAAATAGTGTATGAGTAAGTGATTTTCGAATAAATTTAAAAAATCCTTGTTACGAGCTGTAATCGATACATATACAAGACTGACCAAAAAAAAACAACTGTTTTTTCGCGACTGGGTGTGAATAGTCAGTACTATCCAATGCAGCATGCTAACGTACACACCGATGATGCAAGTGGGTTAAGCTTAAACTTTCATAGTAAATTCTTAAAACTAAGTCAAAGACAAGATATACCACGGTTCAGACGGCTACAGTGCCATCCATCGAAAGAAATAGTAAGCAAAGTATTTGACTGCGATTGCTTTAGGATGGGTATTACTTTTTCGAAGTTTAGTGTTATAATAGTCAATAACAACAAATAATAATAAACATCGTCGCCATGCACGCAAAATCATAACAGATAACAGATGTTACGTGTCTTTGCAACTTCGAAATTTAGTGTTATTCACTTTTGATTAAATTTTTGTGGTTGTTGAATTTCTTATATGACAAATTTTATTATAAAACAAAATTAATCATCTTAGTTTTTTTTTAGAAAATATATTATTACATTTGAGCTGACAACTTTTTTGCACGTTTTACTTTATACAAACGTCATTCCGACTAGTTGTCATGTTAATTCGTACAACTGGTAATAAATAAGGCGTTAAAGCTTAAATACTCATCAAATACAGTTCATACTCAGTATTTATTAAATGTCAGTATTTACTGTGGTTCAGTTGACGAGTGAACTACGGATAATATTTTATTTAGTTACCCTATTTTATCCATCTCCCTTTTTGTGATTTGCTTCTTTCAAAAGTTCCTCGTCAACAAATATAAATATATTATGAGTGTAGAGGTACACAGTCCATACAAAATTGAATTTAAATTAATAGTCTTAAATTATAAGTAATCATAATTAAATTATAATTATGCTTTCTATTTTTTTTTATTAGTTACTAGCACTTACAGTGCTACTTATAAACAAGGTATAGAGTTGGAGTAGGTTTACGCTGAGACTGCTCTTCGTATTAGTCAAAATCATAGTTCTTATTAATTCTATGATCAAAATTCATATTATTAAACAGAGACTTAACAAAAGTTAACCTAGTACGAGGCTGTACGGGAGTAATATTTACTCCTAGAAGGTAGTAGATTTGCTTATTCTCTTTGTAATATGAATGTGGACTACTACTAAAATTGCAATTTTAGCAGAAATTTACTCTGACGCTAAACCTTATTTATAAGTAGCACTGTTAGAGTTTAGACGTTTATTATATTTTCCTATTAATAAGTTATTTTTTGTTATTGTCTTCTTACATGTAAAGACCACTAACGTGACATTGCCTGAATCGTGTAAACGCCAATCAAAGAGCAATATCAAATGAAGTACTCATTTGATTGTTTTACTTTGTGATTTGATTCCAAAGATAGTGAAATTTTACTATCATTTGGATTTATTACGTATTTGTTTTTTTTTTCTTTCTGTTATCTAGTACTTAAATAAATGTTTTGCTTTTATATTTAATAAAAATACTTTTTGGCAAGTTTAATTAAATCTTGTGAAGTTTTTATTATTGATAAAAACTTTGTCATAAGAGATAGTTGGTAATAAAAACGATGGCTCAAGATGAAGATCACCTCACAGACAGTAACAGGAGTATTAATACAATTAGTGAGTTACCCGGAAGACCGTTTTCGTTCACTGTAGAAGTTCCTTTATTCCTGACCATATTAGGACTATCTCTATCAGGTAAATAACACCATAAGCATCAAGTAAAGATATTTATGTACAAGCACATATATTGAAATTTGAAAAAGATATTGACAAAATGTTAGAAACTGTTTCGGCGTTAAAAAAAATTAGCTTTTAATAGTATCAAACCATACTATTAAAAGTAGGACTTGAATAAATTGTTTTATTTTTTCAATTAAAATCTTCAAAGTATTATTATAATGCCTGAATATAAATTATATAAAAAAAGATATCTGTTGAATTAACTTTTTAGTCACTCATTATTTTTATATGAAAATCGATTTTTTTTAAGATGACAGAGAAAAATTTCAGCATTATAAAAATATTATGTTGAAATTTTCCAATTCTATCTCTCGCTTCCATTCTTTAAAAATGATTATAACTATTTAAAACTTTTGTTTTGATCTTAATTTATAAAAGAGTTTTTACAAAAATAACTAGTAAGCATTTTTTAAGCAAAGAAACTTACAATATTAGCCTCCTTTTAATTATTATAAGTTATATTAAAACATAATTATTTTTCAGGCACAGCTATAACCAATATTGTACTTTATAGAACTTGCATTCACTCTCTTCATCACACAGTTGATGAATGCCATATATTTCTTATGCCACTAAAGAATAATGAAACTCATAGTCTGGAGGAAGAAGTTCAAAAGTATGCTGCTTTTGTGCAAATGGTCAAAATTGTTATTGAGTCTGTGGGACCTGCTATACTTTCTCTTTTTTTGGGAGTTTGGTCTGATACTCATGGAAGAAAGCCATTAATTGTTTGGCCATTATTTGGTAAGTGTAAAGGCCATTGTTTGGTAACTTAAAAAAATATTTGGATTTTTAAGACTATCTAATAAGGGGTTATTCATATCCAATAAATATACATACACAGTACCATATTATATGATAGTAATTTGGCGCTGTATATTTATTAGTAAGTTGAGTGGGATGGTGATGCATCCTACAGTAAATGATTTAGGGGAAAGTAGTTGGCTGATGGGATAAAAAATTGTCTTACTCAATCTGAATTTGATAGTGTGCTTTATGTCTGGGGTAGTCTTAATTTGTTTTGTTTACATGCATAGCATGCCAAACTTGGGATCGTTTTGTATACACTCAAACATCACATTTCATTTGAACCAATGAGATGTATGGATGTTCATGAGAAAAATTTGATTTGGGTGTAGATAAATGTACTTGAGTTATTCATGCTATGGTGCAGGGTTTTATTGTATTTAAACTTGTCCATTAAATAGTAGTTTTGTTTCTATTATTACCTTTGCTGTTGCTGGATATTTAAGTTTATTGTCTGTTGATGCATGCTGCATGTCTATATGAAACATAAGTGATTTTTACTAGACAACAGACATGTCGGCTTTAGGCCTATTTGCAAGTCAGGCATTAAAATGTGTGCTCTATATTTTATTCATTACAGTACAATTTTGATTGACACTAAAGGTAATCATGATACTTTTGATAAACTAAAATTATTGTTTTTTATTTACCAGAAATGGACTTAATTTCTACTTTTTGATGTTATTAAAATTATGTTTCATAATCAGCATTATCTTTATTTTTGGAAAAATATAGTAAAAATAGACAATTCTTCTGTTAGGAACATGACCATATAACCCTTCCAAATACATTAGTTGCCAAGGTTGTTGTAAAATTACATAAAGACTCTATAAAGAAAGGAAAGCTAGTGCTAAATAAAATACTTAAAGATACACACTCACAAGTGTTGCCGCTTTAATGTGTATCGCATAACTATCAAGGTATTCATATTACTTGCTGTTGATACTTTATGATAATGAAGTTTTTGAAAGTATAAAAGTCCAAAGTCTAGATTTAGCTGTCCATGTAAACTCTTCTATGTCAGAAGCAACAAAGTTGAATTTACTGGATGGATATTCCGCTGGATGTGACTTTTTGGTCAATAACGGAAAATGCAATTAAATTATTACAACCGATTACTTTTAAACTTGAACCCAAAGTAAGTCTTAAAAACGGGAAGTGCAATTGACGGTGTTATCCTATATTTCAATTATAATCGAAACAAGAAATTGTAGGACGCAGGTGATAGTAGGAATAATAGGAAGAGAAAAGTAGGAAGAGTGCAGCCCGCGATCGTTGTTGTTAAGCTACTTTCGCAAAGGTCGCTAAAGTGATGTGTTACCAAAAAATTGTTTCTCGAGATACTTTGTGCTTCACGAGGCATGTTAAGATGTTGATCCCGGCTGCATTTGAGGTCGTTAATACTCCAATCCGCATTGGGCCAGCGTAGAGGGCCATAGCCCATCCTCCTTAACCAACCTTAAGGAAGGCGTGAGCCCCTGCAGTGGGGACGTAAAAGGACTGATGACTGATGATGAAATTTTATTTGCTGTAATTTATAAGATTATTATTATTACATTTAATAATTATTATACAAATAATTTTATTAAACTAATTCACTGTACTGCATATTTGTTAGACCCCAGATCACAAAGTTTTGTGAATGGAAGAAGAAAGACGATGAGGTAGATGTTATGAAAATCATGCTATAAAGTACAATATTAGAGGTAGATCATTTATATGTAAGCAAGTCATAGAAATGAGTCCAGTAGTTTATTGGAGAGGGCAGTGCCATCCATGGTTTAGCACACATGTTCCTATATATAACTACAGACAGGACAGCAACATATCTTAGAACTAGAATGTTTACACAAATAAACAGTGTTATTAATAAACAAGGTTTGACGTTGTAGTAAATTTACGCTGCGACTGCACTTAGTATTAGTCAAAATTCATATTATTAAACAGAGACTTGGCAAAGGTTAACCTAGTACGAGAGTAATATTTACTCCTAGAAGGTTTGCTTATTGTCTGTATCATATGATTTTGGACTTATACTCAAATTGCAATTTTAGCGTTTTACTTTGACGCTAAACCTTATTTATTAATAACACTGAAAGAGTAAGACGACGAGTCATTATTTTCTCTTAGATTAATAGTAAGCTCTATCTAGATAAAACTAACGATAGATAACCTTCTATATCGTGTATAAATACTGAAGAAATTGAATTATTTGATATAAACGCTATAACAACGGAAGGTTGTGATGAGAAATGTTAAGAAAAATTAAATACAGTAATTTTTATTTAATAACCATTTATTGGTGTATTCAATGATGATGAATATTATCAAGTTTCTGTCTCGGTTAAAAGAATAGTTCGTTTACTAAAGTTTGATTGCCTTTGATTAATGATTTTTTGCCTAATTAGGATATAGTTACTAATCGGCACTTATTATTTAAGTGCTATCAAGTTTATGCCCCGGTTGAAAAATAATTGTAGATCCGACCCTACTAAGCAAAACACTGGAATGATGCCCATATTAAATCGCAATACAGTATACACATAATAAAATACTAATGTACTATAATTTAATAAATAAGTATCGTACATAAAAAGATTAAAGAGTGTAATTGCCCCAACGTAAAAATAAATTATATTATTATTAGTATCGCTGGTCTGAAATAAGTTCCTGCATTTTTAAGATTTATTTATAATTGGAGCAAACATAATCTGTAAATAGATGCCATGCCGCCCCCCAAATACAAGCGCCCTAGGCAATTGCCGAGTCTGCCTATATCGACGGGCCGGCCATGAAATAAATTACTTAAAATAACAAACTTTTTAGTTTATAACAGTTTGTTGTTTACTTACTCGTATCGCACTCCCTCTCTATCACTCACAAATTTTCTTCACGAAATTATTGTCGGAGTGGTGTTCTGATATATAATAATGTTTTAATTTTTATAAATGTTAGTAAACTCCACCGATATCTGAGTGAATAATGTTTGGATGTTAAAAGTTATTTATATTATGCTGATTACCATACTTATTATAGCAACAGTAGAGAAACAAGGTTCCCATCGTGATTTCTAGGTATCACGATGACGGCGGTATTGAACGTCATCTACAGTATGTTGGACAACTTCGGACCCTGGTGGTACCTCCTCACAGCTATCCCCTTCTCCTTAACTGGCGGCTTCAGTGTTTTATTTACCGGGGCATATTGTTACATGAGCGATGTCACCTCAACTGAAACTCGGTCTCTTAGGTAAACTAACGTTTGTTTTGTCTTAATATTTGTACATTGCTTCTAAAGCTTATCGATGTGGAGGAATGTGGGTTAAAATGATAATAATGGCAATTTGTGCACTTATATATCTACGAATAATGTTACATAACAATGCAATAATGATAATTGGAACAAGTAAGTATTTGACGAACTTTGTTACACGCGATAACACAACATATATTTTAGGCATCGGAAAAAGTATCTTAATCACAATATTGCAGGAGCGGAATGTGAATTTGTGGAGCCTTAGGCTAATACTACTCAGGGCCTATGTTATTTTGTTTAGAACTGTTTTCCCAATGTAAAGGGCTAGGCCCGGATCTACGATTTTTTTACCGGAGCAGAAAAATAATGTCGCCCTTCCTCTACTCTACCACCCCACCTCCCACGCTTCGTGAAGCTGGATTTTATATCATAACTAGCTTTTGCCCGCGACTTCGTCCGCGTGGTAAAGTTACTTTGAGCAGCATTTCTAACTAATATTTATTCATTATATCGTGAAAAATACCTGAAATAAAGTTTCATCCCCTATTTTATCCTCTTAGTCATGGAATTTATCAAAATCCTTTCTTAGGAGATGCCTTCGTCATAGTAGCTTTATGCATACAAATTTGACAGTTTCATAAAAAAATTGACAGTTTCATACAAAATATCATCCCCTATTTTATCCTCTTAGGGGTAGAATTGAACAAAATTCTTTCATAACACTTACCTGCATGCCAAATTTCAACCCGATCCGTCCAATGGTTTGGGCTGTGCGTTGATAGATCACTATGTCAGCCAGTCACCTTTGAGTTGAATATATATAGATATTTTGCACTATATAATATTTTTCTTTTATTTCATTTAGGAATTTTGAAGCATGTCCTATCGTAGCCTATAATTTTATATAGAGATTTGTAATGCTAGTTCTTTTTTTACTATAAATAGGTATTATAATAATAATGATGATTTTGGCACCCCCTAACACTGCCGCTCGGGGCAAGTGCCTATCACTTGCCCCCCTCCCCCTTGCCCGTCAAGTTCTTAGGTATATCTGCCCTGCGATATTGGTTGCTTTTTCTGATGCCTGTAATTGGGTAAAAGGGGATTGAATTATTTTCACTAATTAAAAGTTTTTATACAAAAATTGACTTTGGAGATAATAATCATTAAAAACTGTGGTAAAAACTTGCATTTGCGATAAAGAACTCGCCGAAAACTAAATTTTTAAAATTATGATAAATCGGCTTCAGTTGTGCGGATGTCGGCTATGGTTGCATGTGATAGCTGTTCTGTCCTATTTTATTGTATAGTGTGTACGATAGTTGTTCTTGAACATTTCCACATGTATGGTTGTCAACAATTCTTGTCATTGTATGTTGTTGCTATCATAAAAAAGTATAAAACCAAAGATAGCACCAATCCCAACTAAAAGTTACGATATACCTACACTTATGTTTTTAGAATGACGGTAATAGAAGCGGCTTTATCTGTAGGCAGCGTGACGGGATCCCTTATAAGCTCCTACCTGCTGAAAGCAGTGGGAAATGTTTACCTGTTGCTCATAGTAACTACACTTAATGTGGTCGCTTACGTATATACCAACCTTTATGTAAGAGAATCATTGACGGGTGCAATACAGGTAGGTACTTGATTGTTTGTATGAATACCTAACTTAAAATTATATATAAGCAAACCTCAACTTAAAATTATGAATAATAATATAAAAAAAAAACAGTTTGACAGTCACACAGATTAGAAATAGATACACCACAGCTGTAAGTCAGGCTACATATGTCTAATATCCTCAATTAATTGAACTCTACCCTCGACATGTTGAGGTTTAAACGCAATATACCTAAACTTAAAATTATATATAAGCAAACCTCAACTTAAAATTATGAATAATAATATAAAAAAAACAGTTTGACAGTCACACAGATTAGAAATAGATACACCACAGCTGTAAGTCAGGCTACATATGTCTAATATCCTCAATTAATTGAACTCTACCCTCGACATGTTGAGGTTTAAACGCAATATACCTAAACTTAAAATTATATATAAGCAAACTTCAACTTCAAATTATGAATAATAATATAAAAAAAAAACAGTTTGACAGTCACACACATTAGAAATAGATACACCACAGTTGTAAGTCAGGCTACATATGTCTAATATCCTCAATTAATTGAACTCTACCCTCGACATGTTGAGGTTTAAACTCAAATGGAGGAAGTCAGATTTATATAGCCTGTCTGTGCTGATATTGACTGTACTTATAAATCAAAATTTCCTTTTTTATATAATTTTATTGGCTGCCTACAATATCTCTAATTTCATCCTTATCTTTGTATGTTTTGATTTACGTTATATACATTTATATTTTTCTTTCAGGGTGGCATAACAACAGTTCTCGATTTTCTATTAGTAAAAGAAATGTTTAGGGAATGTTTCAAACGGCGTCCCAACAATTTAAGAGCACAATTGCTTCTTCTCGCTATAGCCAATAGTCTTTCTATATTTATTTTCTATGGAGTTTTTAATCTAGAATATATGTATACGAGGGAAAAATTAAGTTGGGCATTGAAAGACTATAACACATATTCAGCAGTAAGCACTAGCATAGCCTTCATTGGTTCTTTCTTAGGTGTAGCAGTAATACAAAGAGTGTTGGCAATCAGTGATCTAGGATTTGCAATGGTGGCGTTTTTAACCACTGCTATTCAATATATGGTTAAAGCTTTTGCTGTCCTCACATGGCATATGTATCTTGGTAAGTCATTGATATTAAATGTGTGGTAATAAGTATTAAGAATATTAAAAATAATTTTGAAAAAGTTATTCTGCTTTTACTTTTGTGGGTTATTACGTGTTTGCTTTCCAGCGTCAATGTATACCAAAACTCACAAGATAGTATGATTTTTTTATATCTTTTATTATCATCGTTTAGTCAATTTAAATAAAAAAAAATTTTTTTCACACTATTTCTGCATTTTTTTGTGGTAGTTTTGAGTTTATCACGTTCATACAAACAGACAGCTGGGAATTTTGTTCATATGTCCATTTACATATAAGGAATATCGACTTGTTATTTAAAATTGTTATTACCCAGCATAAATAATATGAATATTTAATAGAATAATTATATTTATTATTAAGACTTAACTTTTTTCAGGTCCCGCCATTGCTCTTTTTGGTGGACTATCCTCGCCTCTCATTAGATCGATGCTGACTAAAATTTTGCCATTAGAAGACATAGCCAAAGCGTTCGCTTTAATGTGCGCTATTGAAGGCATCTGTCCGCTTATATCGCCATTTTTGTATAGCACAGTTTATAGATCTACTATAACATTGTTCCCTGGAGCTATATATCTATTGTCGGCATTTATAAATGCTATTTGCGTCATAATGTTAGGGTAAGTTTCATGATAACTTTCTTTCTAACTCAATATATTGAAGAATATTAAACACGTTCCTTATTATGTTTAATTATGATTACTTTCTTGTTCTGTGATAATGATAATCCAATATCAAATAAATAGTATACCTTAAAGGTTCGCAGACGACTATTAGTTAAAATAGTCTTTAAAATGTACTTATTTATACTTTATTTGCTCCTGTACATTATGGGTATCTTAAAAAAATATTTTTATTCAGTTGACTGAGCGGTGTCTAGCTATAATAATGAATTTGTTCAATTACTTGGCTGATTCACTTTAGGCTTCCAGTTGGGAGGCTAATCAACTAAGTCCGTGACATTATCCGTTACTCATTTATTTGAATCATGTTCACTTACGTATAAAATATTGTTTTTAGATTTGTCGCGTACTACAGAACGAGAGTAACGTCACCTGCGTATCAACCAGTGTCAAACCAGTTATAGTGTGCTTTAAAATTTTTCAAATATTCTTTGTTTTGAAGATTTTCATAATTTAGCATCGAATCATTGTCATCGTATATCGAATTTTATACATTAATAGGTGTTGGAAACATGAAACATAGATTAAATTATATTTCAACCTAAGGGTAACTGGCTAGCAGTTATGTGTTGTTTTTTTATGATTATGGCATGGCTATCACATTTTCTTAAGATGACTTTTTTTGTGATTTTCAATAGTCTGCTTTTATGGGTTTCTTATAACAAAAGTAGTTATCCGTGCCATTTCTTTCTGCCGAATCATCAGAACTACATGTAGGTAGTTGATCTTATACACATTAATTAATTCAGTAGATATTATAGTAGATAATTATTAATAAACATATTTTAATAGTGGACAGAGATATGTAAAATGTAATCAAGGATTATTTATTAATTTTAGACTCGGATTAGATATTTGTCTTTACGTTTGTGTTTTGTGGTACGAGCGAGCTATGCTCTGCGCCCGATAAACATTTATTATTGGTGTTTTACATTTCAATTTAATATATTGTTGTTTTATGTAGAAAAATATATTATCCTGAACACGTCACAATTTGACTATCCAATCTAATTATCTAATTATAGGTCACAATAAGTTCGGTTGATCAAGGTTCTGCTATAATATCAAGTAATATTCGATCGGGATTGAAATATTTAATCAATTATTAGTAAACGTGTAAAATTATGATTTATAATTTATAAATGACAAAAAAATAATCCAGTTTCAACATCCAAACCTGGTAGATATTGTCCATCTTTGGTAATTGGTACACTATTAATCGTACATCGCAGTTTTATCATTGTTATAAATGATAAAATAAGAAGTATATAAATAGACTGAGGTGCTTAAAGCTGTAGCCAGTGTTTAGATTTAAAATTTGTTACTAAACCAAAAGAAAAACCTTTTTAGTTTTAAGTAATTGAACAATACTAAATTAGTAAATTATTTGTGAATTAGTGGCAGGTGTGTTCTTATGTGTAATGTTATAAATATTGTATAGTCAACTCGTGTGCCTTAACACTGTTATTGGTGATTTTTAAATACTGTCGTTAGAATTAATAAGACACGTAAAGGAATAAATTTCGTCTATTTTCAAAATGGTAATACGACTCCAAAGAAGAACGTATTTTAATAATAATTGTTCCAACTAATTGTGTTGAGTTCCAACTTATTTACCTATAAAAGCTGTGTTTGCACAGTGTTATTATTTGAATTAGCTAAGTACTTATTTTAATAAATGCGAATAGTATGTAATATTAAATACATGGTCACACATTATGTCTGTAATTCAGTATATTGTCTGAAATAAATATAATAGTTAATATGAAATATTAACTGTCACAAAACATTGTTTAAATGAGCTTGATGTACAGTCAACAGCACATTAGGTTATACAAATCTGTCAAATTTCGTCAATGATTTAAGCTTACACTTTCAGGTAAGAGTTTTAAATAAACAACAGAAATTTGACATATCGCGGTAACCAAACATGCAGGTGTATGTACATAAACTTAGTGTAAGATTATAAGTGTGATATATTATATTTGTCTATATTTACATTAAATGTTTTATACAATTTTGAAATATGGTTATCATTTCTTGTTGAAAATGACTACACCCCACTAGCGCAAAAATCGATATATAAGTATTTTATTTTTAATCTTTGGTTTAAGATTGGATTAGAAAGAGAAATGGAATACACAGACGCATCTTTCACATATGTGCTATTGAAAAAATATTGAAAAAAATTACATATATAAAAAAATATCTTATATAAAATTCCATGTCTTTTCTATTTATGAAAACTAGGTATAGTAGTTACTGTCATGGTGATAACAGTAGATAAATAAGCATCATAATGAACTGTACTAGAGAGATATATTAAAATTGTAATATTGTTACTGATACTGATAAATATGTTTAATGTAAAGAAATATTCAACAGGACTGACGAATTATATATTATTCTAGATGTGCCCGCGGCTTCATTCTCGCGGAATATAGCCTCATTGTATCTAATACTTCATATTAGTCTGTGAGGTGGCAACACCAGGAAACGGAAGCAAATAAAGTATTCTATAAACCAACATAAATGGTGACAGCGTGTAAATTTTCTTCCAAAAAAGAAATCCGCATAAATCCGCATAAATTCCGTGCAAATTCTAATAAAACAACGAATTCTAGCCATGGAAGAGCTAAAAAAACAACTGGAAGCACAAATGACGCTGATACAAAGGCTGCAGGAACAAATACTAACCCAAAGTCAGTCACAGTCAGTACCAAACTCTACTGAAACAGCAAATCTACCTGGCATGAGTACACCACCGCCACAACAATTCTCATTCAAAGCCGTAGATTGGCAAAACTGGATCACAAGATTTGAACAATACCGAGAATCCACTCGTCTTAAACTTTTAGCAAGCGAGACGCAAGTAAATTCCTTCTTATATCTAATGGGTGACCAGGCAAACAACATACTAACGTCAATGAAACTAAGCCCAGAAGATATGAAGTCCTATGAAGTAGTGAAAAATAGGTTCGATTCGTACTACACTACAAGAAAAACAAAAATGTATGCAAGAGCACGCTTCAATCAACGAATGCAAAAAGAAGACGAGAACGTGGATGAATTCATCACAGATCTCCACAACCTAGCAAAAAAATGCGAATATGGGGCACTAGAAGATGAATTAATCAGAGACCGAATTGTAGCCGGCATGAAAAACCTGGAACTGTCCAAAGCTCTTCAAAACCTAGAAGAAGAACCTAAATTAGAAACAGTAATCAATAGGGTAAGACATGCAGAAACAGTTGACGCCAACATGTCAGCACTAAACAGTTCACAATTAGTGCCAGAAATTCATAATTTGACCAAAAACCCAATAAAATCTTTTGTTGTAGAAAGTGTGGAAAAACACCAAGACACAAATTTTCTGAATGTGAAGCAGCAAAATCAGTGTGTAAAGGATGTGGTATACGAGGTCATTGGATTGCTGTATGCAAAAAGAAGAATGAAATAAAGAAAAAAGACTGGAAAAATGTCAACGAAATAGTTGAAGAAGATTTTTTCATTGGTAGCATCGAAAGCTCAAAGAAAAAGATCATAGACTCCATCAACAAACCTAGCATCCAGTCTAAATTTGCTATGATCATTATCAACGGTCAAAAGACAAAGTTTAAAATTGACACAGGCGCATCTGAAACTGTAATAAGTCCTGAATTAAGGATTGAACTAAAACTGCCTAGGCCTGTACCTGTTAATGAAAATCTTTTTGGACCATGTGGAATACCACTACCAGGGCGAGGAGTATGCAAAAATATAAAAATGACATGGCAAGGTATGACAAAACCAACAGACATCTACATACTAGAAGGTCAACACACACCACTACTTGGCTTAAGAGAATGTGATTCTTTTGGTATTATAAAGTGGCATGAAAAAACCCAAATAATGCAAATAAAAACCTCATCTAATACTATACCTGAAGAAGAATATCAAGGAATATTCAAAGGTCTTGGAACTATGGAAGGGAGGTACAAAATAAAACTGAAAAGTCATGCTACACCATATGCAGTCACTGCACCTCGACATATCTCCATACCGATTCGGCCTAAAGTACAAAAAACATTGGAAAATCTACAGAACATGGGAGTTATTGAACCAGTCTCACATGCAACAGAATGGTGCGCTCCAATGGTGCCAGTACCTGATAAAAATGACACTGATAAAGTAAGAATCACAGTGGACTATACTGAATTAAACAAAGCAGTGATGAGAGAATATCACCCACTACCAACCGTTGAAGAATGCTTAGCACAGCTTTCTGAATCCAAAGTATTCTCCAAAATTGATGCAGTGAAAAGCTACTTTCAAGTGCAACTAACTGATGACTGTAAGGACCTCACAACATTCATTACCCCATTCGGTAGGTACCGTTTCAACAGAATGCCCATGGGAATGAACTCATCAAGTGAAGTTTTCCAACGTAAAATGGCATTTTTACTATCGGGTATCAAAGGCTGTGTGAATCATGTAGATGACACCCTTGTCTATGGAAAAACAGAAGAAGAACATGACAAAAACTTGAGAGAAGTCCTTAAAGCTCTATATAAGGGAGGAGTAACCCTAAACCGTAACAAATGTGTTTTCAGGACAAAGGAATGCACATTTTTAGGATATAAAATCACTGGAAATGGGATACAACCTCTACAAGATAAGATAAAAGCTATTGTTAATCTACCTATACCCAGGAATTTAACAGCATTAAGAAGCTTTATGGGAGCCGTTAACCAACACCTCAGATTTCTTAATAACACAGCAGAAATAACAAAACCTCTCCGTGATTTACTGAGAAAAGAATCTCCGAGGAAATGGAATGATGAACACACTCAATCATTCCAGCAAATAAAAAAATTGCTAACCACTGCTCCACAGTTAGCACACTATAACCCTAACCTAGAAACCAGAGTCTCAGCTGATGCATCAAAACATGGGATGGGAGCTTTGTTAGAACAGAAACATGGTAATGAATGGAAACCTGTACATTTTTGGTCATCAACATTCACAGCAGCTCAACAACGGTATGCCATAATTGAAAAAGAAGCATGTGCTACTACCATGGCCTGTGAAAGATTAAAATTATACCTTTTAGGTCTTCCTAAATTCACCATACGCACGGACCACAAACCTCTAGTTTCCATACTTGGAACTAAACCTATAGCAGATCTACCAACAAGACTCCAAAGGTTCAGAATAAGAATGACTCCATTTCATTATAATATAGAACATGTTCCCGGAAAGTACATGTATACAGCAGACATGTTGTCCAGAACACCACCAGAAGAGGACAGAGAAATTCTCAATAAAGAAGACAAGCTGGATGAGATAACACTTCTCAGTTTAAGAACAGAAATGCCTTTCTCCAATGAGCGCCTGAATAAAATAAAAGAAGTGCAACAAAACGACAGCATATGTAAAAAACTATACAACTACATAATGAATGGTTGGCCCAGCTATAAAGACATAGAAGAAGAAATGAAACCTTTCATGAAATACAGAAATGACTTGATACTACTCAACAATGTGATAGCCTGCGGAAATAAATTATACATTCCTGCAATCATGAAAGAGGAAATACTTATGAGACTCCATACTGGACATGTTACAAGCTTCAAAGCCCAACTACGAGCCAAACATGCAGTGTGGTGGCCTACCATAGAAAATGACATAGTCCAATGGACAACTAAATGTGAAATCTGCTCTAAATTAACTACACAAAGACCAGAACCACTGATTAGCGGAGAAATCCCAGATTATCCTTTTGAAATTATAGCTGCTGATCTATGCACATATAGAGGCAAAGAATACCTTGTAGTTAGAGATGTACTATCAAACTACCCTGAGGTGGTTACACTAACCTCCACAACATCCATAGCGATAGTCAATCACCTAAAAACTATAATGGCTAGACATGGCATCCCGAGGATCTTGAGAACTGACAATGGCCCACAATTTTCATCAAAACACTTTGAAGAATTTGCTAAGAAATGGGATTCCACTCACATCACATCAAGCCCCCATTTTCCACAAAGCAATGGAGCCGCAGAGATAGGAGTAAAAATAATCAAAAACATATTTGAAAGAAACCCAGAAGATTCCCTTCTTGGACTACTACATTACAGAACAACCACCAACCAATTAGGACTAGCACCAGCACAGATAGCTATGTCAAGATTGTTAAACACAACAATACCAATGACAACTTCAGCACTAAAACCCAAAGTGCAAGAATTGGCACTATACAGAGAAAAACTGCTGAAAAGAAGAGAAAAAGCTAAAGAAATACATGATCAAAGACACAAAGTCAAAGAACTACCAGAACTAGAGAGAGGACAAAGAGTATTTATACCAGATGATGATACATACGGCACAGTCACTGGAAAGAGAAAGGAGCCTCGCAGCTACTCCATACTGACAGACAAAGGAAGTGAAATAAGAAAGAATAGAAGAGCAATCATTGAAGTACCCAACCAAACATTCAAGTACAAGACACAGAACATGCCTATTCCTGCCTACCCAACAACCTCTTCCCCTCCAAATCCTCAACCCTCACCTCAGCCAGATCAACTTATAAAAATTGTTACAGATAAACAACAGCACTCACATGAGAGCCTACTAGACACTGAAGAATCTCATCAGCAACCACAATCCACTCAGTATCTAGAACAGGATAGAAGTGACAACCCAGCTTTTCAAGACTGGACACTAGAAGGTAGACCATCCACGCCTTCAGAGGAAATCATAATGAGCACATCCACGCATAACTCTCGGACACCTACAGAACAATCAACTCCATCGAGCAGATACACCCCTGAACCCTCCACAACAAGCATTGATTTCACTCCAGAGAAGGATAAAGAAGTAATCATCACCAAATCTGGAAGACAAGTCAAACCACCACAAAAGTGTTTGTGCAAAAAGAAGTGTTAATCAGTGTTAAATAAAAATCTTTGATTTCATTTTTGTGATAATAAGTGTAAAAGTGTTCATAGTTTAACTTGTTAGGCAATTAATAACACATTTGTACTAGAAATTCTTTAATATTTCTTATAAAAAAAATAATGTCTACATTCAATTCAGTACACTTGTTCATTGTTATCATTCTTTGTTTATTAACGTTCTATACTTAACACTAGAAATCGTATTTATAGATTTGTGTAATATCACACTCCATTTAAATCTGTATTAACATTGTAATTTCATAAACTTTATCTAATTTAATTCTGTGTGTAGAAAGCAAGTACTCTTTTGTTTACATTTAGATTGACAGCTAGAAATCAGAATGTCAAACGTCATAAGCAAATGTCAAATAGTGATGTAACATGCTAATACTCAAGGACTGCAATTTTAACTGTTATAAGATTATTATCGTTTTTCTTGTAAGATTGGAAGATGTGTGACATTGTATCTAATACTTCATATTAGTCTGTGAGGTGGCAACACCAGGAAACGGAAGCAAATAAAGTATTCTATGAACCAACATGTTACTCCTTATTAGTTATCAGCTCAACCAGTGAAAGTCCCATCAAAGTAGGTCCAGTCGTTTCAGAGATTAGTCGGAAGAAAACGGACTAATAAAACAAAAAAATATATGAAGGTATAAGTACTATGTGTACTTATAATGTAATTAATTTTATTTATTTCTATAGATTATAGCTTTGTAAATGCAACATTATTTAAAAATTATCCTAATTAGAACAAATTTTCATCTTAATCGAAAGTTTAAAATATTTGTAAAAATATTTTATTTCAGCTGCTTGGCTGGATTTCCTTAACATTTATGAAAATACGCTGATTAGTTTCGGGTTTCTTAATAGTTAAAATAGAGGATTTTTCAAACATTTTTCATTAAAGATATACCTATATAGATGCTAGATATTGGTTAAACTGTATAAAATATCGCAGCCAAATGTTTAAAATATTGTACGTGATACACTTTTCATCACCAGTTATCAGCTTCTTCAAAAATGGTTCGATTTCATTACGCTCTAATAAAGAATCATAAATGAGTACACAGTTCATTAAATTCTTTCAGTGAGCTCGTGTACTCAAATGTCCAATATTACCTATTTCAAATGCGTCAAAACCGTTTTATGGTCAATCTCCAGTTCTTCAGCTACGTCGTAACTATTGATATGCCGATCTTGCTTCACTTTTTCAAATATAGCATCCATTTTGAAAAACTGAAGCGACGTACATCTTTGACTTCAAAATTTCCGGATTGAAAACGCTTAACCAAAATTGTATTTCTCTCTCAGAAACTGCACTAGGTTATGCGAAAGATTTTCTCCAGCCAAATATTCATAACTTCTGAAATTTTAGAGGACACTGCGGCTAAGTAGATGTTATAGGCACATGAAATAAAATTTTACAATAGATAAGAATATAATTTATGTGCCTTTAAATATGGTACAAATAGATAATGGTGATATCTACACTATAATAAAAACGTAACCGATCGATGTCTGTACATTGAAGATATATGAAAAAAAATGTTATGGGAGGCATTTATAAACGTAACATAACACAAAACAACGATTTTTAAATTGTTTGTGCGTTCGTGCACGCTAATATCAGAAATTTAATGCAGTTGCACTATTGTAATGTGGTCACCTTCCATTAACATGTAGTGTAAGTTTTATTTCAATCGGTTCATAAATTAAAAAGTTATATCAATTTTAAGTACTGTGTTCGCCAAAATTGTTATGAAATTAATTGCTTTATTAAATTTTAGTCTCTGATGTATTGTTTATCATTGTCATATCTTTTACATCCCCATGCAGTGGGGCTTTGGCCTTTATTTAATCATTTTTTGGTCACCTATCCCGTGAACAACCCATGCGAAAATTGCTTAACAACAATAATCGCGGGTAGCGGCGCTTATCCATTGCGCTACCGAGCTACGTATTGATATTGTCTGTAAAATTATAATTTATATGAATATAAATAAAAAAATAATTTTCAATATTTTGGATACTGCAATGTATCGATTTCAATTATAAATATATTATTATGATTATAATTGAAATCATTTTTATTAAATTTGATTGATCCTATCATAGTAAATATGACTGTCGATACGATCACGCGAGTAGATCAAGTGAAAAAACGTTGCCCTGCTGCAATTAAGCATCGAGTAGTTCTTCGAGGCTAATGGAGATGGTTGGCAGCCACCTCTGCATTGTTGAGCCTCATCTGCTTGGGATAGGCTCTCGATGGACCCGAGCCTCTCCATCTGCAATGGGTCCACGTCTCAGCATAAACTTTCGCCAAAAAGGTACATAAATTGTATGAATGCCTTAAAAAAGGTCAAACCTGCAAAACTGCCAAAAGGATGAGATTCTTAAGAAGATCCTGCATCGTGACGTAGGAAATTTTTAGGCCAGGTGACGCCCTACAGAAACTTTGGCTCAGCATGAATCTAAACTGGGTTTACACCGCTCTCGAATGAGTGAAGACAACTTTTCATACATAGCATTCATAACTATGTAAGTTAGCTATGTATTCAAACTTAGCGCTAGCCAGTGATTTCTTTCAGGCAATCTAGCATTGGATGGAAAAACATGACAAAAAATAATAGATTGCGCATAGTTGTATGCGACAGATAGATAAACAAGTAACATTTTAAAAGGATCAAAATCATAAGAACTGTTGAAACAGCGTAAGTATCACTAATATGAGTATAGCTAATTTACGATAAAAATGGTCAGACACAAGGGCAGAGAGAGAAGTGAGAAAAACTATAGAAAAATAACTATCGTAAGGGCCGTTCATAGGGTGGATGACCAATACCTTATTATCTTGAGCTTCTCCGTGTTTCGCGGTGCAAGTTAAGCCGTTGGTCCCGCCTGCATCAGTAGTTGTTAACGCCCACCAATTCTTAATGGGCCCGCGTAGTGCATTATGGACCATTGATCCTAATCGATTCGATCCGAACCATAGGAAAGAAACAATTCTCCTGATATACTTTCCCACGCAGACGAAGTCGCGGGCACAGCTAGTTACAAATAAAGTTAGACCTTTAAACATATTTAGTTATACTTATATAGCATTAGCAAAGAAGCCTTTAATAATAAAAAGAGATAACGCTGAAGTCATCAAATTTCAAACGGAGTTATTATTTAATCTCGTCCAGAATTTAAAAAATATCATGAGACCATAATTAGGTATATAGAAACAAGAAATTCAGTCAAGTTCGAGGGTAGAAGTAATTATAATTACAGCGTTGGGCGTATAATACATTAGGTAGGTACAACATGAAATGACAAACAAACACAAACTGAACACGAAGATAACTTTTGACTACGCTCATCGTATCGCTAAAAATGAAACATTTAATCTTTACGTATTTTATTTTTGTATTAATTTAACTTTGTTTATTTATGGTATTTGTTTTGCATACCAATAAATGTTACTGTAAAAGCTCGAATACGATAAATCTTATATTTTCCTGTAAAAATCTAAGAATTACTAACTTATTCTGTGATTACAGATTATTGTTAATTCAGAACTTTTACCGTGATACAGTCGGTTTAGGTTTTACAAACTGTTGATAGACAAAGCCATGTAACACAATATTTCAGGACAATTCCTGTGCAATTAGACATTTTGCTGGTAAGGTTACGGCATTTTACGGGAAGCTACCAACATACCTACGAAAAATACGTTTTTTTTCGTTACCATAAAACAGCCGTCTACTTATTTTGGTGATGGGTATTGACAAAATTACCAATTCCATTTCAACGAATTTTATATGGGACCACCTCAGGCCCAACTGTCAATAAAATAAGAATTTTTTAAATCGGAAAAATTGGTGAACATACATAAATTAACCTCCTTTTCGATTTTGAAGTCTGTTAAAAATGGTGAAAGCCCGAAAAATATGTGTTTTTCTCATAAATTTCGTACGTTTACAAAGTTATTAAATGATTTAATAAAATGGTTATTTCATTTTTCAGGTTTTAAACTTTAAAATTTGGAACATGCTATGTTCGGCCAATGATGATTGGTAAATATTAGTATTGAGAATAAAACAATGATTACCTATCGCACAAATCAATTACGTAGTGCTAATTATCATTATGATGATGATAAATTTTGAATTGTTATTAATTACAAAACAATTGAATACGTAAAGGCTTAAGGCAAAGGTAATTATAGTCACACTACAAGAATAAAATCCATTACGTTGTTTTGCTAATAAGATTTAGCTACATACTTATATGTTTATAATAAAATATTGTATATAATACTAATATCTTGTATATAACTATAATAATAATACAAGTAGGTAGCTTCGTTTTAGTGAATAATTGGTTTTAAGTGGATATATCTGTACAATTAGTTGTAATTTATTATATGCGTTTAAAATAAGTATATGATTGGTTTGTAATTAATATTTTAGTGTTCTGAAATTTATTTTTTATTTTTCTTTATTAGTAGGTATTCATCATTAGCATTCCATCCGTTTACTGCAAAAACGATGCTAGCGCCAAACAGTAGATAAATATGTATGTCAAACTTGTAACACCTTCAGTTTGACCGGTGCGGCGGTTAAAAATACAAAAGGCGGCCATAAGCGAAAGAGATTAACCGAAAACCATAATGACTCAAACAGTCTGAGATAACACTGTTATATCTGGGCACTTAGATATTATATAACAAATCGCAATCTTTATCAATTTCTTCGTTTAGTGTTGCTTCTATAGTGATTGTGATCGAGCGCTTTTTAATCAGTTGTTTATGTTTAGTGATTACCTACATAGTTAGAAAAGGAAATTTGAAAATGGAACAAATTCCTGAAAATCCCGCTGAAGAAACTATTGATGAAGAAAGTAATTTGAATAATGAGAGTAATTTGAATGATGAAAGCAACAATCGAAATAGGCACGCTTATAAGCTCACTGTGGAAGTGCCATTGTTTCTGTCGTTTTTGGCGGTTGCAATAACAGGTTTATTTTTTATAATTTAAATTTATATAGCTATAGTGTAACGGATTCCCTTTATGTAATGTTTTCTTTTTCAACGTTTTTGACAAGTTTAACATAAATGTAGTGCATAAATGTATGTACAAGTACATATTATTTCCTATTATCGCATCTTAATTCAATGTTTACTTTATTCCAGCGTTTTCTTTTCCGAGATAATGACCTGGATTGGCCATTTCGAAATTACAAACTGGTTTTGGTCATTTTATAAGTTACGAGGATGTAAACTTTGACAAATCGATGGTATTAGCTTTGCCATAATTTCACATTTTAAGACCGTTAACGGTAAAGTAATTAAAGCTTTAAGCATTAGTAAATTTGAAGGCGTAAGTTCTAAATGGCCAAAACCGGATCTTCTGCCAATACGTAATATATTATGCATACCCTATGTGGTAAGTAAATATTATAATAATTATTATTTTTCTTGAATCAGGTGCCCCTACAAGCAATCTATTAATGTACCGTACATGTGTGCATCCTTTGGGTCATTCCGTAAACGATTGCCAGTCTTTTCTTGCGCCAGAGTCGTACAATCACACCCAAGAGTTGGAAAACGAAGTCCAGCGATATGTAACTTCTGTGTGGACTGCTAAATCGTTGTTAGAATCACTTGTACCAGCGTTCATGTCTCTGTTTATCACAGTATGGTCGGATAAACATGGCCGGAAACCGATACTCTTGTGGCCTCTTCTTGGTAAGCTAAAATTTTCGATTTAAACCCTTAGGTCCTGCATAATAACATCGTATCCCAATTTACTGGGTATACTGGCGGTCATAAATGTCCGTCCGAGGCGTGGGTAGGTGACACTCGCACCGCTCATTGAGGACCTTATAGTTCAGAATATCAAATTGAAAAACTCGATAAGTTTAAAGTAACCTACAAGAGAATTAATTTAAAGTACTTCGCTCAGCAAATTGTATATTTATCTTCTGTGCTGTTTTTTATAATTTTTACTTGGTAATTTATTGATCGTGCTAGACACGCCATCTCTGACCTCGAAGTAAAATTACCTATGTTAATTCCAAAACATCACAAACTGCTGTAGTTGATCTCAGTTTGGTATTACATATTTATTTAATTTAAATGTGTTTTCCTATTTTATTCTAGGATTATTCACTAGCAGTTCGATGGTGTTGGTATATAGTATAATACCATCATTAGGGCCCTGGTGGTACGTGATAACAGTAATACCATTCTCTTTGAGCGGCGGATACGTGGTACTACTAACTGCATCGATGTGTTACGTCAATGATATAAGTCCAACTGAAAAGAAAAGTTTAAGGTAAATGTACCGCGGGTATACCACTTTACTAAAAGCCTGATAGATTTGTATCTATTGGCATACGAGTTTACGATATTTAAGATGTTAATCCTAAGACAAGAGTTATTAAGTAACTTAAATAAGAAAAAAACTTTGTGTGCTAATTAGTATTAGGGGGTTAAAGTATGAAATTGCCGTTTAATTGTAATAGGTTCCTTGAATTGGCATAGAATCATCATGGTTTGAGGTTTTCGAAAGAAACTTTTTCATAAATGTGTTCTTCTTTTAAAAAAATGTGAAACATTTGAATATCGACTTTCAATTGTTTTTGTTATTCAACTTAGATAAAAAAGATGGATACTGCGAAAATTCGAGTGATTTTTGAATACGAGTTCCGACACAGAAGTAATGCGGCAGAAACAGCCCGCAATATCAATGTAGCGTTTGGAGAGGGATCTGCTAATGAACGCACCGTGGTTTTGGTTTAAACGCTTTTGTGATGGAAACGTGGCTCATTCTTCAAGTCGAAGTCGAAACTCGACTTGAAGAATGAGCCACGAGGATGACCGCCCACACAGGTGAATAACGATGAACTATGAGAGATGGTGGAAGCCGATCCTAGCCAAACTACCCAGGAATTAGCGGTATGGTTTAACGTTACCTTACCCACAATATTGACTCATTTGCGACAAATCAATAAAACAAAAAAATACGAAAAATGGGTACCTCATGATTTGACTGATCTTCAGAAAGAAACGCGGCTTGTAACTTGTGTTGCCTTGTTGATTCTGTACAGGAATAAAGGAATATTGGATCGAATTGTGACATGTGATGAAAAGTAGATTCTTTATGATAAACGTAAAAGAAAAATGCAATGGTTGACATTCATCCTCCATATCTGCCAGACCTTGCTCCAACGGACTACCACTTTTTCCGTGACTTGGACAATTATCAACTTCTTGTAGAAAACTTCTTGTTAGTTTTCTTCCCATAGTTTGTGCAGTCTAGATCCTCAGAGTTCTATCGCAAAGGCACAAATGACCTTCCTATTAGATGGCAGCAATGTATAGATAATAATGGTAACTATTTTGATTAAATAAATTTGTCAAAAATTAAAAATAATAAATTTTGATTTTCAGTACAAATTGGCAATTTCATACTTTAACCCTTATTATTTAGCCCCCATTCCAAAGTAAAAGAAAATTAATACAGGTGAAAAACGGGTGTTGATATTTTTTTTTAAATGTAGCTAAAAGCTTTGATGGCCTTGTAATCACAGCGTCTGATGACAGAAAACACAATATGGGAACCACAGCATCATCATCACCAGCTTATTAATGTCCACTGTTGGGACACAGGCCTTCCCTATGGATAGAATCGAATAAGGGAAATGGGGCCATGACCTAATGCGGATCGGTAGATTTGGGGCGTGTTAACAACTGCGGATGCAGGCGGGACCAACGGCTTAACATACCTTCTGGCTGGCCATTGCGATAGTTGCTTAGTTTCCGTATCGCAGACCGAACGCGCTTACCACTGCGCCATCAAGCTCGAGATTGGAATCAGCTTTAATAGACATACTAATATTACGAGGGTCAAACTGAAAGTTCTTAGAACTGGCCACTTATAAACAATATAATAAAAAAATAATTCTAAAATTTGAAAATATAACTCTTTGCCAATATTACTGAGTATATATTTCATTCATTTGTCATTTGTTTTACGATTTGGCGGCAAATTGAAAATTGTCTGTGTCACGTCATCATGAATTTAACACGAGAAAATTTTCGTGCAATGATTTTTTATGACTTTCGATGTCATTTAAGTCAACAAGAAAGTTATGATAGACTACGATTGGCCTTTCACGATGAAGCCCCATCTCGTGCGACTGTTTATACTAATTTACAACGATCGATCATCAATAGCGTTTCTGTAACGGTTACGTTTCGATTTTTGCTGTAAATTTGCATTCCGCTAACGTAAATTATCAAACGAACGTTTACTAAACTGAAACGTAATCGGAGCCAAATCGCAGCCGAACCAAACAGCTGTCATTAGTGTTACCAGAATAAAATAAATGAAATTATTAGTTAAACGGGAGACGATTAATGATTATTCATTCCTTCATTTTTTTATCATTTCTGTACGTAATGAATCTATTATATTCTTATTCGAACGTTTTAAAATACGGACGAAACACCCGAATATTAGCTACATTAAGAAAGTGCATACCTAAGTGTTAAGCTATAAGGGAAAATACCCAAAACGCGAATTTATAATTAATATTTTTATCATTATGGGTATTTGACACTATAAAAATAAGTTTCGTACTATTATCATCATGTTAGATAATAATCTAATAAAAGTTTATTTCTTAGAATCTGTAGATTTAAACAATTATATTCATCGAAAATAGAACAGATTCTCATGTAATATATTGACAGTGTGTTTATAATGTATCAAACAACTATTTTAATTAATTAGTTTTCAGAAAATCGTCATATACCCAATTCTAACTTTTATTAAGCACTCAACTTTAAACATGCTTAATATTTAAAGCATAAATCCGATATAATTAAGTCTTTTAATTAACAAAAAAGTCAGATGAAATACTATAAATCCTGGCGTCGACTAAAGATAACGTCAAGCTTAAAGAGTTAAGTTTCAAAATTCGAATGGTGTTGGTTTATTTTATTGTTTATACCGAGTTTTAATTCGCAAAATAAATGTTATTATGTGAGATAAAGTAGCATGAAAGTGAATAATATGATTCCGTAAAATAAAACGGTACCTACATAGGTAGGTCGTGAACAGAAAAGTTTTGACTCATTTTCGGTCACTAACAAACTGTAATAAGTGAGGTATGCAATCAGTCCAAGACTAGGACGAGCATTAATCCAGAGGTGTATACTTTACTTTAAACAACTCCGTTTCAAAAGAATGTACAACAAAAATAATCATTAAATTTATATATTTGTTTGTACTAAAAATTAAATGTTAAAGTTAAATGATGATTGCATATGACTTTAGTAACTTCAATCCATTTAAACAGAATTCATTAAACTTCATTGAATATCATCGGACTTCATCAAACTACATGGATAGTTCATATTGTGACTTTATGGGACTTCATTAGGTTTTCATATAACATTTCCAATTACGGGCATTGGAAATTACATAATAATAATAATATACTATATATATTTATTTATTTGGGCATTGTTGAATCAACAACCGTAGTAGTCCGTAAAACTTAGGAAAAATGCAAAATTGCACCAAAATTAACTAAAAGTATATTAAAGTTTTTTTTATTCAATAAATGTTACTGCAGTTCTATTACATATAGTCAATTAATCGATTATTTTCCAATCGATGTTTGATTTTCATATTGCAACACAAATTCACTTTTTGTCAATACAAACCACAATGATACAGACAATGTTTTAATTAATCTTTCATTTATTACTTTTTCATTTTACATGTAGAAATTAATTTATTCACTTGACTTTGGCAGAATTGTGTGAAATGCGCAGATATACCATTAATAAAAGAAGAATGAAATTAACAAAATTGAATTGTAAATGACAATTTAATATGGGATATCTACTAAAACAATCCGCATATGTGTATTTTTTTGTAATATTAAACTGTAATAGAAAGTGAAACATTATACTTGAAAATATTATTTACAAAATTAATTTTATAAAATAATTCATACCATGTATTGGCTACGCACGTGAAATTGGCAGAATTATGCGAAAGCCCTTAATAAAAGAAGAAGTTTTCGATTGAAAATAAATATTCATACGTATCAATAACATAGTGAAGAAGATAAACGACAGTCGACTCAAAGTAGACATTTAAGAGAGAATTATTGATGATGAAATGAATCCAATATCTTTCGAAATCTGGCTATACCTACATCTGTACACCGAATCAAGCAAGGCAACATAATATATACTGTGGAAAATCTATACAAGATTAAATTTAAAACAATGTTTGTTATAGAAACCCATTAGAAATGTCATTATTGACTAGATATTATAAGTAAGATCAGAGAAAATTATTAATGATTTGACATATCTTTCACATTAAGTTGTATACAAATTAAATTCTTGTAGTTGCATAGATCTGCTCGCAGCTGTCATCCATGCTGACTATGAGCAAATTAAGTATAAGTTTCAACTGATATAAAAGAACTTACACATATAAATTCCTGCAAAATTGAACAAGAGCTCCTGATTCACAGGCTTATTTTTTTTTGTTCTAAATTGTAACCCATCATAGTGTATGACAGTTTTCTTTGGGTTAAAATTGGTGGTTGGTTTTAACTTTGTGTCAAAAACAGTAGAATATGTATTTTTCATGTAGGTAATACTAATTAGGCTGAACATTTATCTTGCACGCAACTTAATATATGGTTACAGAAAGCCTCATGTTATTTCAAATGTTACATAAAACTGAGCTGCGGCTAAGCTCAATTTTATGTAATTTTTTAAATTAAAAATAATTCAGAATAAAATCTTATAAACAGTATATTTACCTGTTT